TGTCAATCACACACTCACACTCGCTCAATCACAGTCACACACTCACACTCGCTCAATCACAGTCACACACTCACACTCGCTGTCAATCACACACTCACACTCGCTCAATCACAGTCACACACTCACACTCGCTCAATCACAGTCACACACTCACACTCGCTGTCAATCACAGTCAAACACTCGCTGTCAATCTCAGTCACACACACTCGCTGTCAATCACAGTCACACTCACACTCGCTGTCAATCACAGTCACACACTCACACTCGCTGTCAATCTCAGTCACACACTCACACTCTCTCTGTCAATCTCAGTCACACACTCACACTCGCTGTCAATCAGTCACACTCACACTCGCTGTCAATCACAGTCACACTCACACTCGCTCAGTCACACACTCACACTCGCTGTCAATCACAGTCACACACTCACACTCGCTGTCCATCACAGTCATACACTCACACCCGCTCAATCAGTCACACACTCACACTCGCTCAATCACACACTCACACTCGCTCAATCACACACTCACACTCGCTCAATCACAGTCACACACTCACACACTCACACTCGCTGTCAATCACAGTCACACACTCACACTCGCTGTCAATCACAGTCACACTCACACTCGCTCAGTCACACACTCACACTCGCTCAATCACAGTCACACACTCACACTCTCTGTCAATCAGTCACACACTCACACTCGCTGTCAATCACAGTCACACACTCACACTCGCTGTCAATCACAGTCACACTCACACTCGCTCAGTCACACACTCACACTCGCTGTCAATCAGTCACACACTCACACTCGCTGTCCATCACAGTCACACACTCACACCCGCTCAATCAGTCACACACTCACACTCGCTCAATCACACACACACACTCACACTCTCTGTCAATCAGTCACACACTCACACTCGCTCAATCACAGTCACACACTGACACTCGCTGTCAATCAGTCACACACTCACACTCGCTGTCAATCAGTCACACACTCACACTCGCTGTCAATCACAGTCACACACTCACACTCGCTGTCAATCACAGTCACACACTCACACTCGCTGTCAATCTCAGTCACACACTCACACTCGCTGTCAATCACAGTCACACACTCACACTCGCTGTCAGTCACAGTCACACACTCACACTCGCTGTCAATCACAGTCACACACTCACACTCGCTGTCAATCACAGTCAAACACTCACACTCGCTGTCAATCACAGTCACACACACTCGCTGTCAATCTCAGTCACACTCGCTGTCAATCACAGTCAAACACTCACACTCGCTGTCAATCACAGTCACACACTCACACTCGCTGTCAATCTCAGTCACACACTCACACTCGCTGTCAATCTCAGTCACACACACTCGCTGTCAATCAGTCACACTCACACTCGCTGTCAAACTCAGTCACACACTCACACTCTCTCTGTCAATCTCAGTCACACACTCACACTCTCTCTGTCAATCTCAGTCACACACACTCGCTGTCAATCACAGTCACACTCACACTCGCTGTCAATCACAGTCACACACTCACACTCGCTGTCAATCACAGTCACACACTCACACTCGCTGTCAATCAGTCACACTCACACCCGCTCAATCAGTCACACACTCACACTCTCTCTGTCAGTCTCAGTCACACACTCAAACTCGCTGTCAATCACAGTCACACACTCACACTCACTGTCAATCACAGTCACACACACTCACACTCGCTGTCAATCACAGTCACACACTCACACTCGCTGTCAATCACAGTCACACTCACTGTCAATCACAGTCACACACTCACACTCGCTGTCAATCACAGTCACACTCTCTCTGTCAATCACAGTCACACTCACACTCGCTGTCAATCACAGTCACACACTCACACTCGCTGTCAATCACAGTCACACACTCACACTCACTCAATCACAGTCACACACTCACACTCGCTGTCAATCACAGTCACACACTCACACTCGCTGTCAATCACAGTCACACACTCACACTCAGTCAATCACAGTCACACACTCGCTGTCAATCACAGTCACACACTCACACTCGCTGTCAATCACAGTCACACACTCACACTCGCTGTCAATCACAGTCACACACTCACACTCACTCAATCACAGTCACACACTCGCTGTCAATCACAGTCACACACTCACACTCGCTGTCAATCACAGTCACACACTCACACTCGCTGTCAATCACACACTCGCTGTCAATCTCAGTCACACACACTCGCTGTCAATCACAGTCACACACTCACACTCGCTGTCAATCAGTCACACACTCACACTCGCTGTCAATCACAGTCACACACTCACACTCTCTCTGTCAATCTCAGTCACACACACTCGCTGTCAATCACAGTCACACACTCACACTCACTGTCAATCACAGTCACACACTCACACTCACTGTCAATCACAGTCACACACACTCACACTCGCTGTCAATCACAGTCACACACTCACACTCGCTGTCAATCACAGTCACACTCACTGTCAATCACAGTCACACACTCACACTCGCTGTCAATCACAGTCACACTCTCTCTGTCAATCACAGTCACACTCACACTCGCTGTCAATCACAGTCACACACTCACACTCGCTGTCAATCACAGTCACACACTCACACTCACTCAATCACAGTCACACACTCACACTCGCTGTCAATCACAGTCACACACTCACACTCGCTGTCAATCACAGTCACACACTCACACTCAGTCAATCACAGTCACACACTCGCTGTCAATCACAGTCACACACTCACACTCGCTGTCAATCACAGTCACACACTCACACTCGCTGTCAATCACAGTCACACACTCACACTCACTCAATCACAGTCACACACTCGCTGTCAATCACAGTCACACACTCACACTCGCTGTCAATCACAGTCACACACTCACACTCGCTGTCAATCACACACTCGCTGTCAATCTCAGTCACACACACTCGCTGTCAATCACAGTCACACACTCACACTCGCTGTCAATCAGTCACACACTCACACTCGCTGTCAATCACAGTCACACACTCACACTCTCTCTGTCAATCTCAGTCACACACACTCGCTGTCAATCACAGTCACACTCGCTGTCAAAGCCACGGATATCTGCTATGGAGAGGATTATCATCTCTTTTCCAAAGCTCTGCCAATGCTGGACAACCAATAGAATCAATCACACTCACACTTGCTGTCAATAGGAAATATGCTTCTGGTCACATGGCCAGAGTATATTGGCTGTTACGTAACACTACAACTAGGTGGCGCTCAGAAACTAAACCACAGTCAATATCCGAGGAAGAATCCGGATCTCTGAAGTCTTTTTATTTAAACTCTGAACGGCTGTTTGTAATCCTGTAAATACTGTGTGTTCTGGAGAAGCCAGGCGTTTTATGAAGACTGACTCAGACTTATCCTGCATCGGTCCAGACGGAGTCTGTTCTGCTGGAAACGGGCTCAATGCATTTATATTAAACATAGTGTAGAACAAGTCTTTTTTTAAAGATGTGTCCACATTTTACAGTTGCTATTTAAACGGTCTATGGTGTATTTTCTTTCTTTGATGAAAGGACTTGATGAGTTAGAAATGAAGGAAACTTGACTGACTTTAGAACTTGTGTTTCCAGTTTAGCTGTATTATTGTCCATTATTATATTATTGGAAGGATGTGCTGAAAAAACGTGATATTATGGTAAAGATTATGAGTTGTAGCACATTAAATGCCCTGGTTATTTGGCAGAAACATGAATAGTTATAATAACCTCCACGGTTTACCTCTTATAAAGGGTTATAAATCAGCGAGGGTTTCTCCTGTACCGCTGAAAGATATTAATGTTTATTGATAACGGAATGTATTGGAAAAAATGATTGTGAATTCTTCTCTGGCCACTTGAAATCACACTAAAGCTTTGTTTAAAATCACTCTGGTGATATTGTCTATGTTTTTTATGAATGTTTGAGGAAGAAAGCATCCTTTAAACTGCTGTTCAATCATTGTTTATAAATATATAGCATTTTTGATTTGTTTTTCATAGTACTGTGTTGAAATATATGGCTGTAATCATGTATTCTGCTTTGCATCTATATAAATGCATTGATAATTGCTTTACTCCATTTCTTTATCTACACAACACATCAACATTTGAAGATCTTCCTTCACATTAATCTCAGTTTTCTGCCGTCTCACACGATAACAGTGATCGTGTATATCAGTGCATCTCTGGAAAACAGGGTAACTGCAGTACTTTTAAAGTAATCTGCTGACCTAGCTAGTTAATTTTAATTGTTGAGATTTTATTCTATTTTAATATTCAATGTTAGCAAGTACAAAATCTAACCAGTCTCCATCGACTTCTCTTGATTTATAATTTCCCTCTGAACACTTCGGTGAAACCTGTAAAGAAACAAACCTTAAAAAACAAACAGTTTAAGACCTGTTTTAGTGTACTTTATGAGGAGAATTGACTCAAATTTAGGTTGTTATGCATTGAAAAGTCGCCCTGCACATGTTAAAACAAAGAGCATCACGTACACTGTCCTAGTTCTGACGATTATCCATTTGAAAGTAATGAATTACAATAATTTGATATGGAAATAGCTTCAGAGGATCTGGAATAACTTGCTTTTCTGGTTTTTAAATGACAGGATTATTATTTTGGGCAAACTATTCCTTTAATATTGCTCTTACTTTTTTATTTATTCACTGTATGTAAATGTATGGGATTTTTACACAGAAAATACAGAATAACAGTGCAATCTAGAGGATGTTTTACAGCAGTTTCGTAATAAAACCTCTGAACAGAACTGTGAAAGAACAATGTGAGGAATCTTTAGAAACTTTCCCTTTATATTAACTGAACTGAATAATGAAACTATTGTCTTTACAGCAAAATTGGTCTTCTATTTGATGAAGTTTGCATCATCAGTTCTGTGTATTATGTCCCCGACTCTGCTCTGGAACGCCAGATACTGAGGTTTATGGTCAGATATGTTGATTATGGTCAGATATTGAGGTTTACGGAGCGTGTTCATGTTCGAGTGAGCGACGACAGAAGCTCCTCCAGCTGTTTCTCCAGACGCTCGTGTTCTCCGTCGTTCTGCAGGATCCAGTCGAACTCCAGTCCCTCATCCAGACCGCACTCGGACTCCGCGTCGTCCACACCTGAGCAGGTGTACAGCAGCGTTAGGTACTCTCCAGGGCTCTCAGTCATTAATCATTTATAATACGTACGCCCAAAAGACAAGAAAAATAATACAGTGTGTATGATAAATCATGTTGTCACATTTCACTTCCATTCTTTCAGGGGTAAATCAAGAGAAAAGTATATACTACATAATTGTACTAGACATGTGAAATTAATGCGGGACAATTAAATACTCTGAACCCCGAGGGGATTTCTGGTTAGATCAGAATTTACACAAACTGAGAAAGTCAAAAAGTGTTAGGTTGTGCCCCACTCTGTCCTACTAGTTTCCCATCATAAGACCAGGGCTCTCATTTATAAAACTGTGTGTGGGATCCTCACTATAAGTGTGTGTGCGCCCGAAAAGACAAAAATGGCGTACGCCAAAAAATATCCAGACTTATAAAAGCGTGCGAACACCAGAACCTGCGCAGAATCCCCTTTATAAACCCAGTCAGAGGAAGATTGTGCACACGCGTCTCCACCTCGAAATAACCATATATGAGCTGACAACGCCTAGTTTACTATATCCTCATCTGCATATCATTTGCATATTCATATTCATGCACGCAAGATAAATCAAATTGTATGAAATTCATTCCAGAGAAAGTTTTTCTCAATCTTTTCCACTGGCCAAACAGTATTTTTAATGGAAACAGAAAGGACTTATTGTGCATATCTTATTGTGCAATCTCTCTGAGCTTCTTCATCACTACACTTGCTCCGCCCAGAAGCCTGAGATCCCGCGGCCGGCTCCGCTGGAAACACGCCGCTCTAGACTCCAGCGCAGAGGAACACGACTCTGAGCTTCTTCATCACTACACTCACTCCGCCCAGAATCCTGAGATCCTGCGGCCGGCTCCGCTGGGAACACGCCGCTCTAGACTCCAGTGCAGAGGAACACGACTCTGAGCTTCTTCATCACTACACTCACTCCGTCCAGAAGCCTGAGACCCTGCAGCCGGCTCCGCTGGGAACACGCCGCTCTAGACTCCAGTGCAGAGGAACACGACTCTGAGCTTCTTCATCACTACACTCGCTCCGTCCAGAAGCCTGAGATCCCGCGGCCGGCTCCGCTGGAAACACGCCGCTCTAGACTCCAGCGCAGAGGAACACGACTCTGGGCTTCTTCATCACTACACTCGCTCCGCCCAGAATCCTGAGATCCTGCGGCCGGCTCCGCTGGGAACACGCCGCTCTAGACTCCAGCGCAGAGGAACACGACTCTGGGCTTCTTCATCACTACACTCGCTCCGCCCAGAATCCTGAGATCCTGCGGCCGGCTCCGCTGGGAACACGCCGCTCTAGACTCCAGCGCAGAGGAACACGACTCTGGGCTTCTTCATCACTACACTCGCTCTGCCCAGAATCCTGAGATCCTGCGGCCGGCTCCGCTGGGAACACGCCGCTCTAGACTCCAGCGCAGAGGAACACGACTCTGAGCTTCTTCATCACTACACTCGCTCCGCCCAGAATCCTGAGATCCTGCGGCCGGCTCCGCTGGGAACACGCCGCTCTAGACTCCAGCGCAGAGGAACACGACTCTGGGCTTCTTCATCACTACACTCGCTCCGCCCAGAATCCTGAGATCCTGCGGCCGGCTCCGCTGGGAACACGCCGCTCTAGACTCCAGCGCAGAGGAACACGACTCTGGGCTTCTTCATCACTACACTCGCTCCGCCCAGAATCCTGAGATCCTGCGGCCGGCTCCGCTGGGAACACGCCGCTCTAGACTCCAGCGCAGAGGAACACGACTCTGGGCTTCTTCATCACTACACTCGCTCCGCCCAGAATCCTGAGATCCTGCGGCCGGCTCCGCTGGGAACACGCCGCTCTAGACTCCAGCGCAGAGGAACACGACTCTGAGCTTCTTCATCACTACACTCGCTCCGCCCAGAATCCTGAGATCCTGCGGCCGGCTCCGCTGGGAACACGCCGCTCTAGACTCCAGCGCAGAGGAACACGACTCTGGGCTTCTTCATCACTACACTCGCTCCGCCCAGAAGCCTGAGATCCTGCGGCCGGCTCCGCTGGGAACACGCCGCTCTAGACTCCAGCGCAGAGGAACACGACTCTGAGCTTCTTCATCACTACACTCACTCCGTCCAGAAGCCTAAGATCCTGCGGCCGGCTCCGCTGGGAACACGCCGCTCTAGACTCCAGCGCAGAGGAACACGACTCTGGGCTTCTTCATCACTACACTCGCTCCGTCCAGAATCCTGAGATCCCGCGGCCGGCTCCGCTGGAAACACGCCGCTCTAGACTCCAGCGCAGAGGAACACGACTCTGAGCTTCTTCATCACTACACTCACTCCGTCCAGAAGCCTAAGATCCTGCGGCCGGCTCCGCTGGGAACACGCCGCTCTAGACTCCAGCGCAGAGGAACACGACTCTGAGCTTCTTCATCACTACACTCGCTCCGTCCAGAATCCTGAGATCCCGCGGCCGGCTCCGCTGGGAACACGCCGCTCTAGACTCCAGCGCAGAGGAACACGACTCTGGGCTTCTTCATCACTACACTCGCTCCGTCCAGAATCCTGAGATCCCGCGGCCGGCTCCGCTGGGAACACGCCGCTCTAGACTCCAGCGCAGAGGAACACGACTCGGAGCTTCTTCATCACTACACTCGCTCCGCCCAGAAGCCTGAGATCCCGCGGCCGGCTCCGCTGGGAACACGCCGCTCTAGACTCCAGCGCAGAGGAACACGACTCGGAGCTTCTTCATCACTACACTCGCTCCGCCCAGAAGCCTGAGATCCCGCGGCCGGCTCCGCTGGGAACACGCCGCTCTAGACTCCAGCGCAGAGGAACACGACTCTGAGCTTCTTCATCACTAAACTCACTCCGCCCAGAAGCCTGAGATCCTGCGGCCGGCTCCGCTGGGAACACGCCGCTCTAGACTCCAGCGAAGAGGAACACGACTCTGAGCTTCTTCATCACTACACTCGCTCTGTCCAGAAGCCTGAGATCCCGCGGCCGGCTCCGCTGGGAACACGCCGCTCTAGACTCCAGTGCAGAGGAACACGACTCTGAGCTTCTTCATCACTACACTCGCTCTGTCCAGAAGCCTGAGATCCCGCGGCCGGCTCCGCTGGGAACACGCCGCTCTAGACTCCAGTGCAGAGGAACACGACTCTGAGCTTCTTCATCACTACACTCGCTCCGTCCAGAAGCCTGAGATCCCGCGGCCGGCTCCGCTGGGAACACGCCGCTCTAGACTCCAGTGCAAAGGAACACGACTCTGAGCTTCTTCATCACTACACTCGCTCTGTCCAGAAGCCTGAGATCCCGCGGCCGGCTCCGCTGGGAACACGCCGCTCTAGACTCCAGCGCAGAGGAACACGACTCTGAGCTTCTTCATCACTACACTCGCTCCGTCCAGAATCCTGAGATCCCGCGGCCGGCTCCGCTGGGAACACGCCGCTCTAGACTCCAGTGCAGAGGAACACGACTCTGAGCTTCTTCATCACTACACTCACTCCGTCCAGAAGCCTGAGATCCTGCAGCCGGCTCCGCTGGGAACACGCCGCTCTAGACTCCAGTGCAGAGGAACAGGACTCTGAGCTTCTTCATCACTACACTCGCTCCGTCCAGAATCCTGAGATCCTGCGTCCGGCTCTGCTGGGAACACGCCGCTCTAGACTCCAGTGCAGAGGAACACGACTCTGAGCTTCTTCATCACTACACTCGCTCCGTCCAGAATCCTGAGATCCTGCGTCCGGCTCTGCTGGGAACACGCCGCTCTAGACTCCAGTGCAGAGGAACACGACTCTGAGCTTCTTCATCACTACACTCGCTCCGTCCAGAATCCTGAGATCCTGCGTCCGGCTCCGCTGGGAACACGCCGCTCTAGACTCCAGTGCAGAGGAACACGACTCTGAGCTTCTTCATCACTACACTCGCTCCGTCCAGAATCCTGAGATCCCGTGGCCGGCTCCGCTGGGAACACGCTGCTCTAGACTCCAGCGCAGAGGAACACGACTCTGAGCTTCTTCATCACTACACTCGCTCCGTCCAGAAGCCTGAGATCCTGCAGCCGGCTCCGCTGGGAACACGCCGCTCTAGACTCCAGTGCAGAGGAACACGACTCTGAGCTTCTTCATCACTACACTCGCTCTGTCCAGAAGCCTGAGATCCTGCGGCCGGCTCCGCTGGGAACACGCCGCTCTAGACTCCAGCGCAGAGGAACACGACTCTGAGCTTCTTCATCACTACACTCGCTCTGTCCAGAAGCCTGAGATCCTGCGGCCGGCTCCGCTGGGAACACGCCGCTCTAGACTCCAGCGCAGAGGAACACGACTCTGGGCTTCTTCATCACTACACTCGCTCCGTCCAGAAGCCTGAGATCCCACGGCCGGCTCCGCTGGGAACACGCCGCTCTAGACTCCAGTGCAGAGGAACACGACTCTGAGCTTCTTCATCACTACACTCGCTCCGTCCAGAAGCCTGAGATCCCGCGGCCGGCTCCGCTGGGAACACGCCGCTCTAGACTCCAGTGCAGAGGAACACGACTCTGAGCTTCTTCATCACTACACTCGCTCCGTCCAGAAGCCTGAGATCCCACGGCCGGCTCCGCTGGGAACACGCCGCTCTAGACTCCAGTGCAGAGGAACACGACTCTGAGCTTCTTCATCACTACACTCACTCCGTCCAGAAGCCTAAGATCCCACGGCCGGCTCCGCTGGGAACACGCCGCTCTAGACTCCAGTGCAGAGGAACACGACTCTGAGCTTCTTCATTACTACACTCGCTCCGTCCAGAAGCCTGAGATCCCACGGCCGGCTCCGCTGGGAACACGCCGCTCTAGACTCCAGTGCAGAGGAACACAACTCTGAGCTTCTTCATCACTACACTCACTCCGTCCAGAAGCCTGAGATCCCGCGGCCGGCTCCGCTGGGAACACGGCGCTCTAGACTCCAGCGCAGAGGAACAGGACTCTGAGCTTCTTCATCACTACACTCGTTCTGTCCAGAAGCCTGAGATCCCGCGGCCGGCTCCGCTGGGAACACGCCGCTCTAGACTCCAGTGCAGAGGAACACGACTCTGAGCTTCTTCATCACTACACTCGCTCTGTCCAGAAGCCTGAGATCCCGCGGCCGGCTCCGCTGGGAACACGCCGCTCTAGACTCCAGTGCAGAGGAACACGACTCTGAGCTTCTTCATCACTACACTCGCTCTGTCCAGAAGCCTAAGATCCCGCGGCCGGCTCCGCTGGGAACACGCCGCTCTAGACTCCAGCGCAGAGGAACACGACTCTGAGCTTCTTCATCACTACACTCGCTCCGTCCAGAAGCCTAAGATCCCGCGGCCGGCTCCGCTGGGAACACGCCGCTCTAGACTCCAGCGCAGAGGAACACGACTCTGAGCTTCTTCATCACTACACTCGCTCCGTCCAGAAGCCTAAGATCCCGCGGCCGGCTCCGCTGGGAACACGCCGCTCTAGACTCCAGCGTAGAGGAACACGACTCTGGAGCCTCTAGGGAGCAGAACGGCCCCTTCTCTGTCTCCGTTTTCTTTAGTATATGGATTATTTTCTTCGGTTGGTTTTACTAGTTTATATTTGAGTCTGATACTGGTTTGCTACTCCTGTTTTATGGTTACTCTTAGCTATGTTGCTCTTATTTTTTGTTTTAATTGTTGTTATGCATGTTATATCTTCTTTTAATCTTGTTGTTCTGTAGAGCACTTTGGTCAGCTTAGTGGCTGTTGTAAATGTGCTATATAAATAACATTGAAATTGAACTACCTGTGGTGAACCTCCAGCCCCGCTGTGATCTGGTGTGTGTGTGTGTGTGTGTGTGTGTTGTACCTGTGGTGAACATCCAGCCCCGCTGTGATCTGGTGTGTGTGTGTGTGTGTGTGTGTGTGTGTGTGTTGTACCTGTGGTGAACCTCCAGCCCCTTTGTGATCTGGTCTGCTCTGACGCCTCCACACGCACACACACACATCGGTCGGGAAACTCCTGCCGGAACCACTGTACATCCGATCTCCTCCTGCAGTCGCTGACGATCTGAGGAAGAGTGTGTGTTACTGAGGTCACATGACGACAGGAGAGCGTGTGTTACTGAGGTCACATGACGACAGGAGAGCGTGTGTAACTGAGGTCACATGACGACAGGAGAGTGTGTGTTACTGAGGTCACATGGCGACAGGAGAGCGCGTGTTACTGAGGTCACATGACGACAGGAGAGCGTGTTACTGAGGTCACGTGACGACAGGAGAGTGTGTGTTACTGAGGTCACGTGACGGCAGGAGAGCGCGTGTTACTGAGGTCACGTGACGGCAGGAGAGCGCGTGTTACTGAGGTCACGTGACGGCAGGAGAGCGCGTGTTACTGAGGTCACGTGACGACAGGAGAGCGCGTGTTACTGAGGTCACGTGACGACAGGAGAGAGCGTGTTACTGAGGTCACGTGACGGCAGGAGAGCGCGTGTTACTGAGGTCACGTGACGACAGGAGAGCGCGTGTTACTGAGGTCACGTGACGACAGGAGAGCGCGTGTTACTGAGGTCACGTGACGACAGGAGACGCGTGTTACTGAGGTCACGTTACGGCAGGAGAGCGCGTGTTACTGAGGTCACGTGACGACAGGAGAGCGCGTGTTACTGAGGTCACGTGACGACAGGAGAGCGCGTGTTACTGAGGTCACGTGACGACAGGAGACGCGTGTTACTGAGGTCACGTTACGGCAGGAGAGCGCGTGTTACTGAGGTCACGTGACGGCAGGAGAGCGCGTGTTACTGAGGTCACGTGACGACAGGAGAGCGCGTGTTACTGAGGTCACGTGACGGCAGGAGAGCGCGTGTTACTGAGGTCACGTGACGACAGGAGAGCGCGTGTTACTGAGGTCACGTGACGACAGGAGAGCGCGTGTTACTGAGGTCACGTGACGGCAGGAGAGCGCGTGTTACTGAGGTCACGTGACGGCAGGAGAGCGCGTGTTACTGAGGTCACGTGACGACAGGAGACGCGTGTTACTGAGGTCACGTTACGGCAGGAGAGCGCGTGTTACTGAGGTCACGTGACGACAGGAGAGCGCGTGTTACTGAGGTCACGTGACGACAGGAGAGCGCGTGTTACTGAGGTCACGTGACGACAGGAGACGCGTGTTACTGAGGTCACGTTACGGCAGGAGAGCGCGTGTTACTGAGGTCACGTGACGGCAGGAGAGCGCGTGTTACTGAGGTCACGTGACGACAGGAGAGCGCGTGTTACTGAGGTCACGTGACGGCAGGAGAGCGCGTGTTACTGAGGTCACGTGACGGCAGGAGAGCGCGTGTTACTGAGGTCACGTGACGACAGGAGAGCGCGTGTTACTGAGGTCACGTGACGGCAGGAGAGCGCGTGTTACTGAGGTCACGTGACGACAGGAGAGCGCGTGTTACTGAGGTCACGTGACGACAGGAGAGCGCGTGTTACTGAGGTCACGTGACGGCAGGAGAGCGCGTGTTACTGAGGTCACATGACATGACGAAAGGAGAGCGCGTGTTACTGAGGTCACATGACAACAGGAGAGCGCGTGTTACTGAGGTCACGTGACAACAGGAGGGCGCGCGTTACTGAGGTCACGTGACAACAGGAGGGCGCGCGTTACTGAGGTCACATGACAACAGGAGAGCGCGTGTTACTGAGGTCACGTGACAACAGGAGGGCGCGCTTTACTGAGGTCACATGACAACAGGAGGGCGCGCGTTACTGAGGTCACGTGACAACAGGAGGGCGCACGTTACTGAGGTCACATGACAACAGGAGGGCGCGCGTTACTGAGGTCACATGACAACAGGAGAGCGCGTGTTACTGAGGTCACGTGACAACAGGAGGGCGCACGTTACTGAGGTCACGTGACAACAGGAGGGCGCGCGTTACTGAGGTCACATGACAACAGGAGGGCGCGCGTTACTGAGGTCACATGACGACAGGAGCGTTACTGAGGTCACATGACATGACGAAAGGAGAGCGTGCGTTACTGAGGTCACATGACGACAGGAGGGCGCGTGTTACTGAGGTCACGTGACAACAGGAGGGCGCGCGTTACTGAGGTCACATGACAACAGGAGGGCGCGCGTTACTGAGGTCACGTGAGAACAGGAGAGCGCGTGTTACTGAGGTCACGTGACGGCAGGAGAGCGCGTGTTACTGAGGTCACGTGACGACAGGAGAGCGCGTGTTACTGAGGTCACGTGACGGCAGGAGAGCGCGTGTTACTGAGGTCACGTGACGACAGGAGAGCGCGTGTTACTGAGGTCACGTGACGACAGGAGAGCGCGTGTTACTGAGGTCACGTGACGACAGGAGACGCGTGTTACTGAGGTCACGTTACGGCAGGAGAGCGCGTGTTACTGAGGTCACGTGACGGCAGGAGAGCGCGTGTTACTGAGGTCACGTGACGACAGGAGAGCGCGTGTTACTGAGGTCATGTGACGGCAGGAGAGCGCGTGTTACTGAGGTCACGTGACGACAGGAGAGCGCGTGTTACTGAGGTCACGTGACGGCAGGAGAGCGCGTGTTACTGAGGTCACGTGACGACAGGAGAGCGCGTGTTACTGAGGTCACGTGACGACAGGAGAGCGCGTGTTACTGAGGTCACGTGACGGCAGGAGAGCGCGTGTTACTGAGGTCACGTGACGACAGGAGAGCGCGTGTTACTGAGGTCACGTGACGACAGGAGAGCGCGTGTTACTGAGGTCACGTGACGACAGGAGAGCGCGTGTTACTGAGGTCACGTGACGACAGGAGAGCGCGTGTTACTGAGGTCACGTGACGACAGGAGAGCGCGTGTTACTGAGGTCACGTGACGGCAGGAGAGCGCGTGTTACTGAGGTCACATGACATGACGAAAGGAGAGCGCGTGTTACTGAGGTCACGTGACGACAGGAGAGCGCGTGTTACTGAGGTCACGTGACGACAGGAGAGCGCGTGTTACTGAGGTCACGTGAGAACAGGAGAGCGCGTGTTACTGAGGTCACGTGACGACAGGAGAGCGCGTGTTACTGAGGTCACGTGACGGCAGGAGAGCGCGTGTTACTGAGGTCACGTGACGACAGGAGAGCGCGTGTTACTGAGGTCACATGACAACAGGAGAGCGCGTGTTACTGAGGTCACGTGACAACAGGAGGGCGCGCGTTACTGAGGTCACGTGACGACAGGAGAGCGCGTGTTACTGAGGTCACGTGACGACAGGAGACGCGTGTTACTGAGGTCACGTTACGGCAGGAGAGCGCGTGTTACTGAGGTCACGTGACGGCAGGAGAGCGCGTGTTACTGAGGTCACGTGACGACAGGAGAGCGCGTGTTACTGAGGTCACGTGACGACAGGAGAGCGTGTGTTACTGAGGTCACGTGACGGCAGGAGAGCGCGTGTTACTGAGGTCACGTGACGACAGGAGAGCGCGTGTTACTGAGGTCACGTGACAACAGGAGAGCGTGTGTTACTGAGGTCACGTGACGACAGGAGAGCGTGTGTTACTGAGGTCACGTGACGACAGGAGAGCGCGTGTTACTGAGGTCACGTGATGGCAGGAGAGCGCGTGTTACTGAGGTCACGTGACGGCAGGAGAGCGCGTGTTACTGAGGTCACGTGACGACAGGAGAGCGTGTGTTACTGAGGTCACGTGACGGCAGGAGAGCGCGTGTTACTGAGGTCACGTGACGGCAGGAGAGCGCGTGTTACTGAGGTCACGTGACGGCAGGAGAGCGCGTGTTACTGAGGTCACGTGACGACAGGAGAGCGCGTGTTACTGAGGTCACGTGACGACAGGAGAGCGTGTGTTACTGAGGTCACGTGACGACAGGAGAGCGTGTGTTACTGAGGTCACGTGACGACAGGAGAGCGCGTGTTACTGAGGTCACGTGACAACAGGAGAGCGTGTGTTACTGAGGTCACGTGACGGCAGGAGAGCGCGTGTTACTGAGGTCACGTGACGGCAGGAGAGCGCGTGTTACTGAGGTCACGTGACGACAGGAGCGCGTGTTACTGAGGTCACGTGACGACAGGAGCGCGTGTTACTGAGGTCACGTGACGACAGGAGAGCGCGTGTTACTGAGGTCACGTGACGGCAGGAGAGCGCGTGTTACTGAGGTCACGTTACGGCAGGAGAGCGCGTGTTACTGAGGTCACGTGACGGCAGGAGAGCGCGTGTTACTGAGGTCACGTGACGACAGGAGAGCGCGTGTTACTGAGGTCACGTGACGGCAGGAGAGCGCGTGTTACTGAGGTCACGTGACGACAGGAGAGCGCGTGTTACTGAGGTCACGTGACGGCAGGAGAGCGCGTGTTACTGAGGTCACGTGACGACAGGAGAGCGCGTGTTACTGAGGTCACGTGACGGCAGGAGAGCGCGCGTTACTGAGGTCACATGACAACAGGAGGGCGCGCGTTACTGAGGTCACGTGACAACAGGAGGGCGCGCGTTACTGAGGTCACGTGACAACAGGAGGGCGCGCGTTACTGAGGTCACATGACAACAGGAGGGCGCGCGTTACTGAGGTCACGTGACAACAGGAGGGCGCGCGTTACTGAGGTCACGTGACAACAGGAGGGCGCGCGTTACTGAGGTCACGTGACAACAGGAGGGCGCGCGTTACTGAGGTCACATGACAACAGGAGGGCGCGCGTTACTGAGGTCACGTGACAACAGGAGGGCGCGCGTTACTGAGGTCACGTGACAACAGGAGGGCGCGCGTTACTGAGGTCACATGACAACAGGAGGGCGCGCGTTACTGAGGTCATGTGACAACAGGAGGGCGCGCGTTACTGAGGTCACATGACAACAGGAGAGCGCGTGTTACTGAGGTCACGTGACAACAGGAGGGCGCGCGTTACTGAGGTCACATGACAACAGGAGGGCGCGCGTTACTGAGGTCACGTGACAACAGGAGGGCGCGCGTTACTGAGGTCACATGACAACAGGAGAGCGCGTGTTACTGAGGTCACGTGACAACAGGAGGGCGCGCGTTTCTGAGGTCACATGACAACAGGAGGGCGCGCGTTACTGAGGTCACATGACGACAGGAGAGCGTGCGTTACTGAGGTCACATGACATGACGAAAGGAGAGCGCGTGTTACTGAGGTCACATGACGACAGGAGGGCGTGTGTTACTGAGGTCACATGACAACAGGAGGGCGCGCGTTACTGAGGTCACATGACAACAGGAGGGCGCGCGTTACTGAGGTCACGTGAGAACAGGAGGGCGCGCGTTACTGAGGTCACATGACAACAGGAGGGCGCGCGTTACTGAGGTCACGTGAGAACAGGAAGGCGCGCGTTACTGAGGTCACGTGACAACAGGAGAGCGTGTGTTACTGAGGTCACATGACGACAGGAGAGCGTGCGTTACTGAGGTCACATGACAACAGGAGGGCGCGCGTTACTGAGGTCACGTGACAACAGGAGAGCGTGTGTTACTGAGGTCACATGACAACAGGAGGGCGCGTGTTACTGAGGTCACGTGACAACAGGAGAGCGTGTGTTACTGAGGTCACATGACATGACGAAAGGAGAGCGCGTGTTACTGTGAGCATGTGAATAAATATGTGTATGGTAACTATGGGGTTATAAATATAAATATAAAATTAAATATATTTGTCATTTTCCCCTGATATTGACGATTATCGTTTGGAAACAGACTGTTATAATCGACATTGCGATACTTGCTAGACATCGTCGATATACGATAATATCGTCATAGTCAAGTCAAGTCAGCTTTGTTTATATAGCGCTTTTCACAATATAGATTGTTTCAAAGCAGCTTTACAGAGATAACAGGAAGTTTGTTTCCTGAAGAAAATAGCGTCACAGTCCAGCTTTAGCAAGTTCAGTGATGGTTCATTTTTGTTAAAGGAACACTTCACCCATTTCAACATTAATCTTTATTGAAAGTGGGTCATATATGTAGTCGAAATGTAAAAGAAATTTTGAATTTGGTGCCCTCTTGACCGAGAAAAGACAGAAAATAACTTTAGGGCGCATTTGTATGAAAGACAACAACTCCCACAATGCACCACATTGCACAGCTCCGCAAGCCACTCCCACTACTCCAGAACAGCGCAAACATCAGATAAATCACTCGTCTACAAGGCTAACATTAGCTGCCACCAGAGTTAGAAATTCATTTCACACAAAATGTATAGTTAGTTGGCTGTGGCGAGCAGGACGAGGGACGTGAGAGCGGCGCGAGGCCGGTGGCGTGAGTGATAATGAACGACACCTGTGAGACGCACCGGTCTCTCTCACGTCTCTCACCGAGGAGCGGACGCATAAAGGAGGAGCGACGACAGGGCAGATCGAGAGAGGAACAGGCCTGATTTTATGTTGTGTTTTGTTTCTGTTGTGTGTGGCCAACAGTGAGGGGCTGCTGGCTTATACTTTTGTTTTGTATTTGTTTATTTTACTATTAAAATGTTTAAATGTTCGCCGATTCCCGTCTCATTCTTCCCACAACAACGAACCCCGTTACATTGGCAAACTCATTAGCGAATTACTCCTCGTTTGTATTTCTTTCTATATGGTGAATTATTGCATGATACCTGGATGTTCAGTCAGAACATATGCGGTGCGACACTAGGATTGTTCACATCACAACACAAACGTCCGTGTGCTCGTCTGATTCAGAGATTTCGTCCAGGAGAAATTGCGATCGTTGAAATTCTCTGCAGCAGATGGACTCTATCTGTGTCCGTAGCGCACAGCGAGAGCACAGGCACCAGCAGTCCGCCCAGCTCGAGCCAGTCCGGGCTCCTCGTCCGCTCCAGTCCGCCTCAGCGCGAGCCAGTCCGGGCTCCTCGTCCGCTCCAGTCCGCCCAGCTCGAGCCAGTCCGGGCTCCTCGTCCGCTCCAGTCCGCCCAGCTCGAGCCAGTCCGGGCTCCTCGTCCGCTCCAGTCCGCCCAGCTCGAGCCAGTCCGGGCTCCTCGTCCGCTCCAGTCCGCCCAGCTCGAGCCAGTCCGGGCTCCTCGTCCGCTCCAGTCCGCCTCAGCTCGAGCCAGTCCGGTCTCCTCGTCCGCTCCAGTCCGCCTCAGCTCGAGCCAGTCCGGGCTCCTCGTCCGCTCCAGTCCGCCTCAGCTCGAGCCAGTCCGGTCTCCTCGTCCGCTCCAGTCCGCCTCAGCTCGAGCCAGTCCGGGCTCCTCGTCCGCTCCAGTCCGCCTCAGCTCGAGCCAGTCCGGTCTCCTCGTCCGCTCCAGTCCGCCTCAGCTCGAGCCAGTCCGGGCTCCTCGTCCGCTCCAGTCCGCCCAGCTCGAGCCAATCCGGGCTCCTCGTCCGCTCCAGTCCGCCCAGCTCGAGCCAGTCCGGGCTCCTCGTCCGCTCCAGTCCGCCTCAGCTCGAGCCAGTCCGGGCTCCTCGTCCGCTCCAGTCCGCCTCAGCTCGAGCCAGTCCGGGCTCCTCGTCCGCTCCAGTCCGCCCAGCTCGAGCCAGTCCGGGCTCCTCGTCCGCTCCAGTCCGCCCAGCTCGAGCCAGTCCGGGCTCCTCGTCCGCTCCAGTCCGCCCAGCTCGAGCCAGTCCGGGCTCCTCGTCCGCTCCAGTCCGCCCAGCTCGAGCCAGTCCGGTCTCCTCGTCCGCTCCAGTCCGCCTCAGCTCGAGCCAGTCCGGGCTCCTCGTCCGCTCCAGTCCGCCTCAGCTCGAGCCAGTCCGGGCTCCTCGTCCGCTCCAGTCCGCCTCAGCTCGAGCCAGTCCGGTCTCCTCGTCCGCTCCAGTCCGCCTCAGCTCGAGCCAGTCCGGGCTCCTCGTCCGCTCCAGTCCGCCTCAGCTCGAGCCAGTCCGGGCTCCTCGTCCGCTCCAGTCCGCCTCAGCTCGAGCCAGTCCGGGCTCCTCGTCCGCTCCAGTCCGCCCAGCTCGAGCCAGTCCGGGCTCCTCGTCCGCTCCAGTCCGCCTCAGCTCGAGCCAGTCCGGGCTCCTCGTCCGCTCCAGTCCGCCTCAGCTCGAGCCAGTCCGGGCTCCTCGTCCGCTCCAGTCCGCCCAGCTCGAGCCAGTCCGGGCTCCTCGTCCGCTCCAGTCCGCCCAGCTCGAGCCAGTCCGGGCTCCTCGTCCGCTCCAGTCCGCCTCAGCGCGAGCCAGTCCGGGCTCCTCGTCCGCTCCAGTCCGCCTCAGCTCGAGCCAGTCCGGGCTCCTCGTCCGCTCCAGTCCGCCCAGCTCGAGCCAGTCCGGGCTCCTCGTCCGCCTCCTGTTCCTCCATCAGCCTCAGCTGCTCTTCACTATAGTGCGGCTCGTAAAGATAGCCACGAACACCGGATTTGAGTAGCAGAATTTCAAAATCCTCTTCTTCCATATCATGTTTAGTTTCTTCCGTCATTGTCGTAGCTTCCTATCTCCACAGCGCTTGTTAGCTTAGCTTCCAAACAAGATGGCGGATATTGCTTTCTGTATCTGCAAGTGAAGTCCCACCCACTGATCTGTAATAGGTCTGTAGCGTGAGTGAGTCCCACACCCTGAATAAATGATGAGCTTGTGTTTGTAGTCTCTACACTTTTCAATGAAATGGGACTTCCTGCTTTTTATGACGCAAAATGAAGATTTTTACGTCATAAAAAGCAGGAAGTAAAACACTTAAATCCTTATTTCTCCCATCTCAGGGAAAAATAAAGGAAAAATCCACGATCATTATAATATATGACTGGGTTTCTAACAATACAAAGCTTAATGCAAATGGGTGAAGTGTTCCTTTAATCTACTGTAAAATGCATTATGATTATGATATGATTATGATATGATTATGATTATGATTATGTACCCAGACGGGTCGCGCGGCATGTTGGACGGCCAGCCGGCAGAAGAAGCCCGAGTCCTGCTGTCTCCTCATCTCTCCCCAGCGGATCATCTCGGCCCGATGCCTCTCCTTATACTGACCACAGCCCAGCAGCTCCTCGTAGTCCAGATCATGATCCTGAACACACACACACACACACACACACACACTCACCAGTCAAAAATCATGATCCTGAACACACACACTCACCAGTCAAAAATCATGATCCTGAACACACACACACACCGGTCAAAAATCATGATCCTGAACACACACACACACCGGTCAAAAATCATGATCCTGAACACACACCAGTCACAGTGTTTACACATTAAACTGAAATTAAAATTAGCACTGCACGATTCTGGATAAACTATAATAATGATACTACTAATCATTATGAATTATAGTTAGAAATAATGATACTACTAATCCTCATATTAGAGTGATTTCTGCAGAATCATGTGACACTGAAGACTGGAGTAATGATGCTGAAATTCAGCTTTAATCACAGGAATACATTACACTTGTTTACTATATATTCACATAGAAAACAGCTGATTTACACTGGAGTAATATTTCACTGATTTACTGTATTTCTGATCAAATTTTGTAGATTTTATTAAGATTTTCATTTTGTAGATTTGATTCTTCAATAGATTTTCTGGACCACGGATTGACCACAGTTTTCCTCCACGCCCTCTGATCATTCACATGAATTATGGGAGTGATATAATACAGGAGTAACTTCTGTCTAACAGTACCGGTCGTTATTCTCCTCACCCTCGACTACTGAGATTGAGGAAACCAGAGGTCAGAGGTCAGAGTTCATTTACAGCAGCTTAGATTACAGCTTTAAAGAAGAAGCGACAGATCTTTCCTTCTATATTGTGATGTACATACTGATTATTGAAAAAGAAAAAATGTAAGGCGGGGCTTGGTTCTGTGCACCGGTTGCTGATTGGATGTAGGGATGTGGGCGTGGCTCTCAACAGTGTATGCAGATGAGCGAGTGAGTGCATAAATGCCTGATGTATCGAATATGATACACATATGCAAACCTTTTTTTTTAAGTTAAAAATATTTAGCCTAAAGGTTATTAATCTGAGTGTTATCACACATGTCAGGCTAAAGGGTTGAAGAGTGTATATACCTGTGCATACTGCTGTTTGAGTGGCGCAGACAGTCGGAGTATACAGCACACCTCTGCAGTCAGCCTGCGATCACAACAACAGCATCAGCATCAGCGTTCATGCAGCCAGGTCACCTGTGCGCGCGACACTAGAGCTCACCTGTGCGCGCGACAGCGAACTCACCTGTGCTGAATCAAATCGGCCACATAATCCTTCCCTGACTTCCGCTTCCCACTGAATAACAGGATAATCCTCGGCTGTGAGTGTGTCATGGCTGTGGTCGCATCTAATGCGTTCTTCACACTCATAAACACATGTTCAGTATGAGGAACGACTGCATCTCGACTTTACCGTAATGCACCAAGATGACGCAGCCACCAAAACGCATAAACACGCTTCGATGCTGCTATTTTAGTTTTTCTCACTCAGTTATGTTTATTAAATTATTTTATTGTGTTCTTTAAGACATCAGTGCAGTTTTTTCTTTCACTGAAGGAAGTAGTGGATGTATCTGTGTGATGTAACGTCTGTGTTCGTGGTGTTAGGTGTAATTACGGCAATCGCGCGAGTGTCACGCCATCAGCTCACGGAGTACGTGCTTAATATATTCACATCCTTTTAACGCTACCTTATTTTGATATTACTTATATAGCACCAGAGACTCTTTAATAAAGCAAAAGTCTTAAATTACTCACGTATTTCTTTACTACTTTTTTTCTGGCATCACTGACCCGGAAGTGAAACCAAACAAGCGGTCTCTGGATTTTGTTTATTTTCATTCACCCAGGTGCCAAAATATTTACCTGCGTGTGTGCTAACACTCGGACTAACTGGGTCTAATACATGTACTATTTCCTTCTAATATCTTTATTTATTATTGAATGTTAGATTTAATTTCACTTTATCGTCATATGGAGTTTTTCCTCATTTTGAAAGACGAACAGCTAATCTGATACATGTTTTATCTTGTGCTTTAAATGCCAAATGTCTGATTTTACACGCATAGTAACGTAAAGATCTTGGTGAGTGCGTTATTTGAGTTCCCCGTGACCCGGAAGTGTTGGGTCTGCCGCAGTGTTTTGGCCGCTTCTCCTCCTCCTCCTCCTCGGGTGTTTGTTTACCTGTGAGGTTCTGCGGTTCTGGACTGGATGTGATGAACGGGAGCGCGAACACGCCTCTGGATAAAGAGGAGCACGTGCTGAAGCTCGGAGACAGTTTCGAGAAGAGACCCAAATCATCCTTCCACACCATCAGATGTGAGTGACACAAACACACCTCAATCTCAAGATTAGCGTTTAGCAGAAGCAGCCTTTAGCCTTAGCAGCGGAATAATAAACATTCAGCGCGTGGATGTGATGTGACGTCATTGACAGCGGAAAATCAGACTGGTTTAATTTTGGCGCGATATTCACAGACAACTGAAGAAGCTAACGTAAACTGCGGTCTTTTAATATTTTTGCCCTGATTAATTACCAAATTATTTAAAAAAATATTGGTAACGCTTTGCTTAACATTAGTTAAAGTCGCATGAAAGTGAATTTGCGAACAAGAACAGATGTAGGGCGGGGCTTGATTGTGTCCGTGTGGAGTTGATTGGCTGGTGGGATGGTTGTGGTTTGCTATTGGCTGATCTCATGTGAGTGACAGGTTATAGCCCCGCCCTCGTTATTAGATGCTGCAAGAGGAACTTATTCTGATTCAACATTATTGGAGCATTAGCTCAACGTCAAGCTGATAAAAGTAGCCTATTATTGTAACGTTGCAGCGGGAGTATACATGAGTTTCCAGCATGTTGTGTGATGCTTTCTCCGGTGTGTTGAAAGTCTCAGTGTGGCCGTGAGTGCTCGCTCTTGTGTTCCAGTACGCGCAAGAGCACGCCACGAGCCCTCTTGTAAAAATTGGTTGCAATCTGAAACATCACCGATAGAGGCCGCTAAAAAATACATACAGCACCTTTAAGATTTTTAGGAACAGAACCTGGAATCAAATGTAAAATAACACTGCAGTTTATAAATAAAATATACATTACAAATATAGTTACTAGTGCTGTCAAACGATTAAAATATTTAATCGCGATTAATCGCATTAATGTCATAGTTAACTCGTATTTAATCGCACATTTTTATCTATTCTAAATGTCTCTTGATTTCTTTTTGTCCCATTATTTTTTCTAATTTTAATGCTCTTATCAACATGGAAAAGTGGATCGGCTTGCTTTGTGCAAATGTTTTTTATTGAAAACAACATTGGCATATATTGTGTTCAATTTCACACTAAAACATTCTTACTTGGAGCAAATAATCTCTCACACAATGTAACACTGTCCATCAATAAAAGGGTGAAAGAAATACTGACGAGGTCCTGATATTGACGAGGGGGCGGAGAATTCGCATCAGCTGTGTGTGTGTGTGTGTGTGTGTGTGTGTGTGCTTGGCCATCATCGAGTGGTGTTTCAGACTGGACGCGCTGCGATGATGATAGCTCAGTTCACAACGACAAAACACACAGATCACTTTGGTCTCGTCAATGGAACCATTTGGCAACTTTTTAAAAGTAAACTTTCCATTCAGAATCTTATTGGCATCCATTTCAGTGTCTCGCGCTCGTCATCCACTCAAAACTGGACGTTTTGAACGTTCCTATAACATTCAGAAATAACGTTTTTATAACTTAATGGGAACGTTATGAAAACGTTCTTATAACCTAAAATGGTTAGCTGGGGAAGAGGAGAGATTCGCGATTGCACTGAACACGTTTTAAGTGCAGGCATTTTCTCTGAGCGAGCCCAGAGAAAACTCTTACAAGAGCAGCGTGTATCTGAGAGCGCGCGACTCGAGCAGAGAGATTCGTGCTCGCCACATTATATTCCGCGCGCGAGCAGAGAGATTCGCGCTCGTGCATCCGGCTCGCAAGCCCAAACAAGTGTGTGCGGCGTGCCTGTTGTTTTGTTTCCGGTCTAGCTAGATCCGCTTGCGCTTTCAAAATGTCCATGCCGCGTCCTGTTGCAAAAGCACGTGAAAAAAAACGACAAAGTTTGCTAGGCCAAAAAGACCGTTAATCGCGCGATAAAAAAATTAACGCCGTTAAAATGGGTTTGCGTTAACGCCGTTAATAACGCGTTTAACTGACAGCCCTAATAGTTACAGTCATTCAGTGAAGAACGAGTGAGTTTTCTCTGTCTTGTGTTGTGTGATTAGTGTTATTATAGAGACGGCAGGAATATTAGCGCTGTCACTTTAAGAGCCGCACGGGTCCAATATACTGATACACGTGAGGACAGAAAACTTTGGTTTAAAGTCATATTGAAATGCTCACAAAGGAATCGAAATTTTATCGTAAAGTATTCGATTCCAGAATTGAAACAGAATTTCGATTCCCAGCCTAATTGTAGTGTCCTCCGGCCTGTTCGGTCTGTCCTCCTCAGATGACTTCAAGCCGGCGTCGATCGACACGTCGTGTGAAGGAGAGCTGCAGGTGGGCAAGGGCGAGGAGGTGACCATCACACTCCCACACATCCCGGTAAGAGTGTGTCCTGTGTGTGTGTGTGTGTGTGTGTGTGTGTGTGTGCTCACTCGCTCTCGTCCGCAGGGGTCCACGCCGCCCATGACCGTCTTCAAGGGCAACAAGAGGCCGTATCAGAAGGACTGCGTGCTCATCATCAACCACGACACGGGCGAGTTCATGCTGGAGAAGCTCAGCAGCAGCATACAGGTCAAGAAGACCAGGTGGGTCGTTCATGTGTGGAGCTTATTAAAGACACGTGAGGCGCAACAAACATGCGGCACTCTCTCTGAATGACTGAAGCAGATGATTGTGTGTGTGTGTTGGTCAGGGCCGAGGGATGAGGTGCTGATGATGATTGTGTGTGTGTGTGTATTGGTCTGGGCCGAGGGCAGCAGATGAGGTGCTGATGATGATTGTGTGTGTGTTGGTCAGGGCCGAGGGCAGCAGTAAGGTCCAGGCTCGTCTGGATCAGCAGTCGGTGAGAGCGACTCCGCTGACGGCTCAGTTTCGCACCCCCCTCCGGCCAGCAGGGGGCGCTAGGAGCTCGCCAGGCAAAGACAACCCTTCACCAGAGCCACAGCTGGACGACATCAAGCGAGGTCAGACACAGACACACTCACACACACAGGGGTTGCTTGTGTTTTTAGAATTTTTATAGTTTAATACGTAAAAAAAACTCTCACGCTATTGGCTGGTCAGCGGGAACTGCACGAACCTATGGCAGAGAGACTCTCGATTCACCATAGATTCAGGTTTATTGACTGAAGCGACGATCTACGGACCTCGCAGAACAACTCTACTCGAAGCCGAGAAAGCAGAGCCAGCAGCGAGCAAGCCAGCACAGATCCAGAGCGCGACTCCACCCCTCGCGTTCTCCTGTTTCCCTTTCCTCGCCGAGCTTATCCGCGTCCTGTCTAAAGCAGTCGAGGCGCTCGGTCTCGATTGAGCCCCTCCTGAGAAGCGCTCTAGCAGCCGCCTGGACGAATGGTTCCTGTCGGAGCACCAACAGGCCCCTCGCCAGCGATCTGCACCTTTCTTCCCAGAAGTTCACAAAGAACTGACAAAATCATGGCGTGCCCCCTACTCGGTGTGCATACGTGTCTCTAACTGAGCCGTGCTCCCAAACATTGATGGTGCTGAGGAAAAGGGTTAAGAGAAACTGCCCCCCCTTGAGGAAGCCGTGGCTCCGCACCTTTGCCCACCCACTGCTATTGGATTGAAATCCAAGGTGGCTCATCCATCCAAACCACTTTAGCGCTCGCAGGCAGCAAGTGTCAGGGACCCCGACCTAGAATTACGCTGGACCCTGAACCCAGAAAGCAGTCCTGATCAACAAGACAGGCAGAGGGGAGGGTTAATTCTCCCCGCGGCCGGACCACCCTCCAAAAAGCCCTGTGTTCCTCCAAATGCCCCGTTCAGTACTGGCCAATGGAGCAGATGTTGTGATTGCAAGCAGTGGGCCCGTTTAAGTTCACGCCCCCTTGCAAACAAAATAAAAAACAAAAATACTCTGCACTTTTCCTCTTCCACACCACACGAGTGTCAGTTCCCTGCTCAAATGCAGCGCGCTGTCACTCGAAATTATCCAACCCATACCCAACCGGGCCGAGGCATGGAAAGCATGGAAAGCTGGTGTGTCACGAACACAGCAGAATGAGGCTACTCGCTCGATTTCGCTCGCAATCCACCCCGCTTCACGAGCATAGTCGACACTTCAGTGAAGAGCAATGTGTCTCACGTCCTCCGCACCGAAGTGATGAGCTTACTGGGAAGGTAGAGGCAGTGCCTCCAGCCCACAGCGAGTCAGGCTTCACTTCCTCGTTCCCAAAAAGAATGGCGGCCTCAGGCCCATCCTAGATCTCAGACATCTGAAGAAGGCCCTTATAAAATGGCCATTCAAGATGTTAACCCTGAAACAAATCCTCGTGCTAGTTGGCCCGGGGGATTGGTTTTTCTCAGTGGATCTGAAAGATGCATACTTTCATATTAAAATAGCCCCCTGTCACAGACCGTTTTTGATATTCGCATTCGAAGGGGTGGCCTACCAGTATACAGTCCCGCCGTTCGGGCTGTCCCTGGCCCCACGCACTTACAAAGTGCATGGATGCAGCACTTTCCCCCCCTGAGACAGAAGGGAATGCGCATCTTGAACTACCTCGACGACTGGCTCGTCGGAGGCGGAACTGAACGCTCTCAGGTCTGTGCTCCTCAGCCATTTGGAATGCCTGGGACTCAGAATGAACACAGCTAAGAGCTCACTTTTCCCTTTCCTGGGTGCTGTTATAGACTTGGCTCAAATGAGGGCGTGTCTGTCAAACGAGCGCGTTCAGGCTATTCAGCGACTCGTGAGCCTGTTCAGAGTGGGGACCAAGCGCCCCCTCAGAACCTTTCAGAGGATGCTAGGCCTCATGGCCTCTGCGTCATCAGTACTGCCGTTGGGTATGCTTCAAATGCGCCCCCTGCAGTACTGGCTGAAACCACAGGTTCCTCCCCAGGCTTGGTGCTCAGGCCATCTCCATATCAAGGTGGACCATGGCTGCACCAAAGCCTTGGCCTCTTGGAAAAATCCCAGTCTCTTCGAGTCAGGGGTAAGCTTGGGGATAGTTTTAAGACGGATGGTGGTCACCACGGACGCCTCCAACTCAGGTTGGATTGCTCTGTGCGAGGGCAAACCGGCCTCCGGCTCTTGGACGACCACGGAGAGACTGTTACATATCAACTGCCTAGAAATGCTGGCGGTTTTGCTAGCCCTCAAAACCTTCCTACCACGCCTGGCAGGTCACCACATCTTGGTCCGGACAGGCAACACTACAGTACACTACACTACAGGGCGGGCTCAGGTCGAGACGCCTGTACTAACTGGCCAGAAGTCTCCTCTTATGGGCAAAGAGCAACCTGCGTCCGCTGAGAGCGACGCATGTGCCAGGCAAACTGAACCAGAGAGTAGATATGATGTCCCCGGGCAATGTGTCCCCAGGGGAATGGACCCTCCATCCCCAAACGGTTCAAACGATCTCGGACGTTTTCAGGAGAGCAGAGGTTTGACCTCTTCGCCTCCGAAGACAACTCTCACTGCCCAATATTTTTCTCGAAGGGCAGGGATGCGCTGGCCCACGAACGGCCCAGCCTTCCCCTGTATGGTTTTCCCCTGGTCATGCTCCTCCCTCAGGTCATTAAAAGGATCAGGGAGGGCAGACACACAGTCCTACTAGTGGCCCCCCTCTGGCGGACCCAACCTTGGTTCCTCGAGTGGATCCAGCTGCTCACAGCAGCCCCGTGGCCGATACCCCTGAAGACCTTCTTTCCCAGGCGAACAGGACGATTTGACCCCCGTCCCAAACTATGGGCCCTCCATGTGTGGCCTCTCGACGGGAGCTTGCAGACATCCCAGTGAGAGTCCTGAGCACAATTTGTCTACGAGACGCCTCTTAAGTGGTCTGTGTTCTCCGGCTGCTGCTCAACCCGGAACCAGAACCTTGCTTTATGCAAAGTATCTCTGATACTTTCATTTCTCCAAGAGCTACTAGATGCGGGCCGTACCCCTTCCATGCTCAAAGTCTACGTGGCGGCCATCGCAGCTTTCCATGCCCCAGTGGCACGCTAGTCGATAGGGAAAAGCGAAATCTATTGGCGATATATGCTCGGCGGCTGGCTGGTCCTCGCGTCTACCTTCGCTAGATTTTATAACTTGGAAGTCCCTCTGCTTGCCTCTGTACGAGCCCGGTCCATCATCATTAGGGCCTTTGCCCTATCAAGCCATCTCGAGGCGTCATGTCAGACTTGACAGCCCTTGCTTTGGACCCTTGTTCAGGCATCCCAACCTTGGGTCATTGAACAGGTCGTTCCGCTTAACATAGCACGGCGTGATTAGATTGGTTCCCCAAAGTGTATAGTTACGCAATATGACTGATCGTTTGAAAGGAAACGACTCGGTTACTCACGTAACCTCGATTCCCTAAGATAAGGGAACTTAACTATGGCGCACACGACTCTGCGTTCGTCGCTTCAGTCGATAAACCTAAATCTATGGCGAAACGAGCGTCTTTTATATGCAGATGCCCCGCCCATTTTGGCGGGCTCTGTGCTCAGCTCGGCGGGCTATGCACCGATTGGTTCGCAGTTACGCCACTCTGCCATAGGTTCGTGCAGTTACCACTGACCAGCCAATAGCGTGAGAGTAGTCTCTGCACTGTTATGGCTGTGCAGTAGCACTGTTATTATACAAAAAGGCTTCAGTATTTGGAGAACAAAGAGTTTTCCCCATAGCGTATAGCTACGCAATACTTGTTCCCTTATCTCAGGGAACCGTGGTTACGTTAGTAACCGAGTCGTTTCTTCCGGTAACGAACACATCACAATAATCCTCATTTAAATAATTAATACGCAGAAAAAAGGCGCGGAGCCTGGTTGAGTTAGTTAGTAGTGTGTTGAAACTGCCGGTTATGGAAAGGGGCGGGACATTTCCCAAACTCGAAGTGCTCGACCAATCACAACACACTGCTCCAGCCGACCAATCAGAGCACAGTGTGCTTTTCAGAAGGAGGGGCTTCTGACAGACTGGGAAGAGAGGAGCCGCAACAATGGAGAATATGAGGAGAATAATCAACATTCAAGCAGGAAAACCGGTTCTAGTAGAGCCTGAAACAACAGTTTAAGGTTGCAACGCTGACTCCAGTGCTGTGTCGAGGTTTAATGTGTGTGTGTGTGTGTGTGTGTGTGTGTGTGTGTGTGTGTCTCAGAGCTGCGGGCCGAGGTGGACGTGATCGAGCAGATGAGCAGCAGCTCTTCTTCCTCAGACTCGGGTAGCGGCGCTGAAGACAACAGCTCCGGCAGCGACTCCGAACCCGACACTCGTCTCTCTCCCGGCGGGAACAACACAGACAACGGACTCAGCCAATCACAGGGCAGCAGCCAGCTGATGAACACGCTCAGCCAATCACAGGGCAGCAGCCAGCTGATGAACACGCTCAGTAAGACTCACACACACTCACGCATGTCATGTGCTGCGTCCCAATTCGCCTACTCATACTACGCCCAAGAATTATGTACCGTATTTTCCGCACTATACGGCGCACCGGATTATAAGGCGCACCTTCAATGAATGACCTATTTTAGAACATTTTTCATATATAGGGCGCACCGGATTATAAGGCGCATAAGATACTGCAGTCAAACGTTTGACTGGGTTTGCGTTATGCATCCACTAGATGTCAACAAAACAGTCAGATAAAGTCAAACTTTATTAAGCGTTCTGACAACTCTGTTCACTCCCATGGTAACGTTGTTCAAAACGTTAAAGGGGAACTCCGGTCAATTTTAACATTGAGCTCATTTTTTGTAAATTTGGAGTGCTGTCAGTACAGATAACAACGACAAAAAACGGTGTTGCCTACACCGTGTTATCCTCTTTTTAAAATGTGCACCCTGTTGACTTCAATGGGGCAAGTTCTAAACCTGCTTTTAGCCTCTTAACAACCTTAATGTGTCATTACAGGTGCACAGCCATGTGAGTGAACACGGTGAATCCGACTGCAGTAAATGTGAAAGATATTAATAAAAATGATGTTTATTCAGCCAGCTCACATACCCGTATTTTCTCCCTGTTTTCGGTCGAAGTCCACCGTAGGCGATTGTCGAGTGCGCGCGCGATCATTGGTAACTAAGCAACAGTGGAGACTCAGACTGTCAGCTGTCAGCCGATGACGGTGCTGTGGTGTTCTGAGAATATCAGCTCAAATGGATAGTTCATCCGGATCAGATGTTGAACACACGGAGGAGGTTTGATAGCGCGCGCGAACTCGACAATCAACTACTGTGGACTTCGGCCGAAAACAGGAAGTAAATACGGGTATGCCAAGGGGGTAATCCATCGACCGGAAGTTGAAGCCGGCCGGGTGCCGCCATCTTGTAGCAGAACTTCACTTGCGTTAGCATTTCCATTGACTCCCATTCATTTTGGCGTCACTTTGACAGCGAATAACTTTACATCTGAGGCGTTTAAAGACTCCATTTGTCCATTATTTATTTCTAAAGAAACACGACAATGTATAAAGGGCTCCATTACCTTCTATGTTACATTATGGCCCCGTAGAAACAGATTTAGTAAAAATAGGGTAACGATTGCGTCATAACCACTCGACTCTCTGTCGCGCTGTACAGAAGTGACCGTACAGACAGGAGGAGAAGCTCGCAGGCGATCGGGGGGACGTCCCGTCAAGGGAGAAGCCCATAGATAATGAGTCCATAAAAGCAATGGAATACTTACTCCTGCTCACTCACGCCAAAGAACTCTTTGCTCAAGTTCCCCGTCTCTGCAAGATTAACGTTGGCAATTTTCACGCACAGCTACTAGAAGAGTAACGTCTGTCAGACAGGTTGCTCACGTCATCAAGCTTAGTTTGAGTCGGTCTGAGTCTGCGCGTCAGGAACGGAAGTGCTCAAAAATCGCTAGAAATGGGCTTCCTCTGTCTCAACTGAGTTCCAATGAGATGCTCTGTCCACTTCTTATACTGTCTATGGGGTATGTGAGCTGGCTGAATAAAGAGAAAGCTCGGATCACAGTTGAGACTGATATATCAGCCCAGGCATCCACGATCCATTGGCAGATAGTGGCGTAAGTCGCCCGGCGCTGTCTCCCCGTCTTGGTGAACGTGTGTTCACCATCCATATATAAGGCGCTCCGGATTATAAGACGCACTGTCGTTTTTTTGAGAAAATTAAAGGCTTTTAAGTGCGCCTTATAGTGCGGAAAATACGGTACTCTTTTTGTGAAGAAAAATTTAGGACGGGCAGTATGTGAATTGGGGCGCAGCGATTGTCTCCTCGTGACCCGCAGAGGATAAAGTGTGTGTTGTTGTCCTCAGGAAACGATCTTCAGCTGAGTGAATCTGGCAGCGACAGCGACTGAGATCACAGCAGCTCTTCGGCTCATCTTAACATCCGGGATGCTATAGAATGTTTTAAAGAATGTTAAATAACTATTAGATTTTATTTTTATTGCAGAGGGACATTTTTGAACCGATAAGGTTGTGTAAGGATGTAATATTGTACCTTTGGTTGTTCAGTGTTTTTATGAAGTTCAACATGCTTGTTTATTGTTCAGTGTTACACACACACACACACACACACACACACACACACACACACACACACTCCATCTGCGAGGTTCAGTCATGTTTCCTACAGTGTGAGATCAGTGCAGACACACATCATTTTTGTGTTTTTATGACTTAAGGCTCACAATCCTTCATGTTAATCCTGCATTTTGAATCCTTGTCGATACCAAAATCTGTGTATGTGATCATCTCTAGACGTCTATACTGCTTGTTTAACCAAACGCAAATGGTTGTAATGCGATAAATGTTGTATATAGTGTCTGTATGTCAGATAAAAGACAAAAACAAGAGCAGTGTCAGCGAGTCTGAGTGATTATGACAAACATTACAGCCCTTATATATAATAATGCATTAATTATGCACCTTATAATGCATTGTATACGACTTTAACAATCAGATTTTAAATGTTTGAACAGATACGGTTGTGTAAACGGGGGAAGGATGTAATATTGTACCTCTGGTTGTTCAGGGTTTTTAAGTTCAACATGCTTGTTTATTGTTCAGTGTTACACACACACACACACTCCATCTGTGAGGTTCAGTCACATGTTTCCTACAGTGGAATCAGTGGAGACAGATGATATTACTTCGGCTTATTTTTGTTGTTGTTTGTGTTTCTATGACTTAAGACTCACAATCCTCCATGTTACATGAAATATTTCAAATCCTTGTCGATACCAAAATCTGTGTATGTGATCATCTCTAGACGTCTATACTGCTTGTTTAACCAAACGCAAATGGTTGTAATGTGATAAATGTTGTATATAGTGTCTGTATGTCAGATAAAAGACAAAAACAAGAGCAGTGTCAGCGAGTCTGAGTGATTATTGACTCTGACAAACATTACAGCCCTTATAAATAGTAATGCATTATAATATCATTTTACTGCATTAATTATGCACCTTATAATGCATTGTATACGACTTTAACAAAGAGATCTGATTGACTGGTAACTGCACTTATTAATTCAATCAAATTGATCTAAAAACTTGTTTGGAGACCTTCATTCCTACCGAGTTCAGAACAATACAGAGTTGGAAAATCAAAGCTAATCTTAGAGGTATTCTGTTAACATCAAAACTGCATCTAAAACAATGTATACCATTTACAAAATAAAGTTGTAGGTTAATTGTAGGGGCGGGGCTTAAGCGCACCACGTGATTGGCGATTACGTCACCAGAGAGAAATATGTTGTTTTCAGATTATTTGTTCATAGTAAGATATATACAACATGCATTTCGATTTTTTTTTTATTTTTTATTTAAATAACAATAGGGAAATACAGAGTCATACAAAACACATGAATCTATACAAAATTAAATTACACAAAATTTTGCTTCTTGTATCAAAAATCAATCGTACATCTAATACATCAAGTAGCCTTTTCAACAGCTGAGATGTCTTAACAGCGAGAGAGTTGGAACAAACCTTTAAGTCAGTGTAAAATAGTCTACCATTTGGAAGAGTTAACACACGTTTTGCTTTATGTATATATTTCCCAAATAAAATTAGATTTTTAGTTATATTATCCATTTCCAATAAACCGGTATGTTTATTTCATGCTGTCAAAATCTCTAAAAATATTCTTACAAGAGGAATCATTTTAAGTCATAAGCTCTTAAATGCTCCATGGGAAAAAAAAAATCATATTTCAAATAACATTTTAAATTTTTTTATGATTACTATGTCTATTTAATAAATGTTTTACGTACTGTTTCTACAAATTAAACAATACATATGATTATGAATGACTGACATTGTTATGCTGAAGAATACATTATATTATACATATATTCTGCATGTATATTTCTATAAATACATAAGTATTGTAAATATGTGCGTGTCCATTATACAGACTGCCTTTCAGTGCAACAACTAAACATTCGTATTGTAACATTTGATGTGATATATACATTTTAATATAAAACATATTCAGACCATAGACTGTAAAAAATAGATTCAGACATGCACTAGAGCCGGATCTTTACTAAAGTACGGGAAAAGCGTGACTTTTTAAAAATTATTATTTTATTTTATTGAGAACATTATATAAACAAAGGAGGAAACATTCACAATGTAGAACAAACAAACGAAAGAAAGAAGGAAAAAGTACAAGACTAATCAGAATGGATCACGGGACTTTTATTTTGATACGCGCTCTTGACGTCACGTGACGCAGTTCCGGCTGCAGCGTCGCTCTCGGCACCATGACAACAGCGCGTCTCGAGTGAGGAGATGAGATGAGTTGAGCTGTTGTGTTTTACCTCACATTACTGAAGGAAACTCACTGCATTCATCACAGGTACAACATGGCTTCATTCACCCTGCGCTACTGAGAGCAGCGTCACACAGTTTATACAGCGAGACGGGGCAGTTTGAGCAGGAACGAACGAACACATTCAGTAGAATCTCGAACTCAAATAGAAGCGACTCGGCTTATACTGTAACGTATATCATCTAGATGGGATTATGATTGTGTAATTAAACTTTTGCTGCTTTTGTAGTCCCTCCTGTTACAGTCATATTTATAGTCTGACTAGTTCTGCACATATGGGCTCCATCAGAGATAATAGCCAGCATGTATAATTGTGTTGTTAATGCACAGAAGTCTCTTGTGTTGGTCTGGATTAGCTGTGCTAGTTAAGCAGTCAGCAGTTAGTTAGCAAAGCTGCTTGGATGGCAGCCAATCAGACGCGACGCTGGGGTCACGTGACCCGTCAGTCAGCATCAGCTTCATCATATCTTGCCCTGTCCAGTGTAAGTCAGTCAGACAGACATAAATGTGTTCCCATCTACAGCTCTATATGATCAGCTAGATTATCAGACTCCCCTGTCAGTCAGTATTTCCTCATATTCTCCATTGTTGCGGCTCCTCTCTTCCCAGTCTGTCAGTAACGCTCTGTTTACTTCCTGTCTCTATGAAGCCCCTCCTTCTGAAAAGCACACTGTGCTCTGATTGGTCGGCTGGAGCAGTGTGTAGTGATTGGTCGAGCGCTTCGAGTGTGTTTGGGAAATGCCCCGCCCCTTTCCATAACCGCCAGTTTAACACACTACTAACTAACTCAACCAGGCCCCGCCCCTTTATTCTGCGCATGAATTATTATAATGAGGAATATTGTGACGTGTTCGTTCCCGGAAGAAACTCGAGACTACAGTGGAGGCGTTTCAGGAGTTCAGGAACACTGACACTGATATAGAGAAGAACTGGAGCTTTCTCATGATCACACACACTGAACACAGATGGATATAGAAACAAGGATCAAAGCCTTTTTCTTGCTTCTATTAGAGTTGAAGAGTCAAAAATATCCTCCATTGTTGCATTTATTTTCACAAACATGGAAGGTCCTTGAAATCAGTTCGAGTATGGCTGCAGTCCCTCTGGAATCTTACATGTTTTAAAATCCGTGTAATATCTTCCTTAGATTCCGATTTAGACAATTTTCTCATTTCTGAGACGGTAAGATAGAGTTTCTCCTCCTTCCTCTCTTGAATCCCGCTAGCTAAAACAGCATTACTGTATGAGGAGGAGGATTTACACTTCAGGTAAACAAGGACAACTTCGAGTGAATGCAGTGCAGGACAACTGTAGGTTATCTGAATAATACAGCGCTGTACGTAACACAGGAATGAGCTGAGAAGAATTCAATTCAATTCAATTCAAATTTATTTGTATAGCGCTTTTCACAATACATATTGTTTCAAAGCAGCTTTACAGAAAGTGCATTTCAGAAATGTACATAGAATAATATAGTTAGTTAATCATCATGTATTAATTTAGGGCATAACATATCGCCGGCGTTGAGTCGTCTCTTCACAGGCGTCGAGTCGTCTCATCGCAGGTGTTGGAGCGTCTGAAGTCTCCGTGAGAGGCTGGATACAAACTGGAGCTGACGAACGCTATTGACCCCGGGACTAGCGTCCCGAGATAACAGCAGAAAAGCAGATGGGAAATAATTAGCGTAGCTGCTGTTCATGATATTAATGCAGTCGATCTGATTCAACAGTGGTATAAAAGGTAAGCATTATGTGAATGCTTGGCTGAAGAGATGCGTCTTTAATCTAGTTTTGAACTGGGAGAGCGAGTCTGAGCCACGAACAGTATCAGGAAGGCTATTCCAGAGTTTAGGAGCTAAATGTGAGAACGCCCTCCCTCCTTTAGTGGACTTAGATATCCTAGGAATGACCAGAAGCCTCGAATTTAGGGATCTTAAAGAACGCGATGGATTGTAGGGCGATAGAAGATCCATTAAATACACAGGAGCTAAACCATTTAGGGCTTTATAGGTCAGTAGTAGTACTTTGTAATTGATACGGAACTTGATAGATAACCAGTGTAGAGATGATAGAATCGGTGTTATATGATCATATTTTCTTGATCTGGTAAGAACTCTAGCGGCTGCATTTTGCACTAACTGTAGCTTGTTTATTGAGGATGCAGGACAACCGGCTAATAAAGCATTACAGTAATCTAGTCTCGAGGTCATGAATGCATGAACTAACTTTTCTGCATCAGAGACAGATAGCATGTTACGTAATTTAGCAATGTTTCTAAGGTGGAAAAAGGCTGTTCTTGTAACATACGAAATATGATTTTCGAAAGACAAGTTGTGGTCTAGTATAACTCCCAGGTCTTTTACTGTAGTCGATAGGGTAACAGGACATCCTTCTATATTAAAGTTGTATTGTAAGAGATTTTGTGGGTAGTTTTTTGGACCAATAAGTAATACCTCCGTTTTATCTGGATTTAGTAGCAGGAAATTACACGTCATCCAGCATTTTATATCTTTAAGACATTCTGTCAATTTTGATGAGTTAGTGTTTTCATCTGGCCGTGATGAAATATATAATTGAGTGTCATCAGCATAGCAGTGGAAATTAATTCCATGTTTTCTTATAATATTACCAAGTGGCAGCATATATATTGAGAATAGCAGAGGGCCTAACACCGATCCTTGCGGCACTCCATAGTCTACTGACGTTATCTTCGATTTTTCCCCATTTAAACAGACAAAATGGTAACGGTCCGATAAGTACGATCTAAACCAGCTTAATGCCTGTCCCTGAACACCAGTGTAGTTTTGTAGTCGATCCAGGAGTATTTCATGATCTTTAGTGTCGAACGCAGCGCTAAGATCGAGTAGAACTAGTATTGAGATACAGCCTTGGTCAGAAGCTAAAAGTAAATCATTTGTAATTTTAACTAGCGCAGTTTCTGTGCTATGATGCGGTCTGAATCCTGACTGAAATTTTTCATATATCTCATTTTCTTGCAAGAAAGAGCACAATTGAGCGGACACAATTTTTTCTAGTATTTTAGACATAAATGGAAGATTTGAAATGGGTCTGTAATTTGCTAGGTTATTTGGATCTAATTGCGGTTTCTTAATAAGAGGTTTTATTACTGCCAGCTTGAATATTTTTGGAACATGACCTAAAGATAAAGACAAGTTAATAATATTAAGAAGAGGCTCTTCCACTACAGGTAACACTTCTTTCAGTAGTTTAGTGGGTATTGGATCTAATAAACATGTTGTTGGTTTAGATGCAATGATAAGTTTATTTAGCTCTTCCTGTCCTATAGTTGTAAAGCGGTGTAGTTGTTCTTGAGGGGCCATAATCGAGGCTGAATCATAAGACACCATAGAGGATTGTACATTTACAATTGTATTTCGGATGCTTTCTATTTTCTCATTGAAGTAGTTCATAAAATCATTACAGCTATACTGTAACGGAATATTTTGCTCGGGTGATGTCTGTTTATTTGTTAGTCTAGCCACGGTGTTAAATAAAAACCTTGGATTATTTTGGTTATTTTCTATTAGTTTGCGGAGATGCTCAGCCCTGGCTGCTTTTAGAGCCTTTTTATAACGTGACACACTGTCTTTCCACGCGATTCTAAAGACCTCTAAATTAGTTTGTTTCCATTTACGCTCTAAGTTACGAGTTTCTCTCTTGATAGCATGTGTAGTACTATTGTACCATGGTGCTTTAGTTTTCTCTCTAACCTTTTTCAATCTAATTGGTGCAACAATATCTAATGTACTAGAGAAAATGGTGCTCAAACTGCTGGTCATTTCCTCTAGTTCATCTGTTTGTTTGGGTTCACTGAGCAGTGAAGAAGAATACAAATTGAAAGCATATTAAACTGGCTCTTTCAGTGACATGGCCTTGTCTCGCCAGGAGAGGCAGGAGAGCGCCGGACTGCAGTTTAGATGTTACAGCGGACGAGCCACGGCTCCACCCACCCGATGCCACATACATAACCATTAATGTGTGTGTCTATGCGTGAGTGTTCTGCATGGAGATGTGATGACGTGATTGGTCCTCAGTGTTACAGGATGTCTCTGTTCAAGGCTCGTGATTGGTCCTCTGTGTTACAGGATGTCTCTGTTCAAGGCTCGTGATTGGTTCTGTTCTCCTCTGTGTTACAGGATGTCTCTGTTCAAGGCTCGTGATTGGTCCTCTGTGTTACAGGATGTCTCTGTTCAAGGCTCGTGATTGGTCCTCTGTGTTACAGGATGTCTCTGTTCAAGGCTCGTGATTGGTTCTGTTCTCCTCTGTGTTACAGGATGTCTCTGTTCAAGGCTCGTGATTGGTGGGCGTCGGCGCTGGGCGAGGGAGAGGAGTTCGATCAGGGCTGTCTGTGTGTCGGGGATGTGGATAACAGTGGAAGTGGATACGGTGAGTTACACCCCCCGTTACCAGAGGTGGACAAAGTACACACCTTCCTTACTGGAGTGAGAGTACACATACTTCTGGTCAAATATTACTTTTAAAACGCACTCACTTTTAAAAGTACTTAAGTATCAAAAGTGAAAAGTAAACGTCAATGCATTGTTTTCTTATTGTTGCACTGTTGTGTGTAATACTTCCAGTATATCTAATGCCTCTGAAGCAGCCTAGTGAACACACCTACAGTCAGTCACCTGTGGAACTAAGAGCTCTTAGAATGTTATAAAACCTATAGAAATTAAACTACTGAATTGACAAAAAAACCCAGCCATAATCATCTTCATTACAGCCGCATCTCATCTGTAATGACTTTAGATGCCGTATTGAATTGTATATGAGAATGAGGCTATGAGGAATAGACGTACAGTCAGGTTTCCAAACTCACAGCTTCCAAAGCTGTTATATGGAGCCTCGTTCCCATCCCTGAAGACGTGTCAGGTGATGCGCACGGTGACGCTGAGTCCGCCTCTGTCCTCCAGATAAGATAGTGGTGGGCAGCTTCATGGGCATGCTGCGCATCTTCTCCCCGCGCGCGGCTAAAGCGCAGGAGCTGAGCGAGGCTGACGTGCAGCTGCTGGAGGTCCGGCTGCCCGAGCCCATCCTGCAGGTGGAGCTGGGCAAGTTCGTCTCGTGAGTCTCGCATCACCACACCTCTATGACCTCTACTGTCCCACACAGCCGGGTGGATCCTGACACACACCGCCTGCTCAGTTCAATTACAGTTCATCCCCTTTTTGTAAAGTGTTTGATAGCAATTCTCTGATAAGAAGACATGCACATAAACTATGATGGAAACACATTTACCGAATAAATCTCTCGATGCACAGCAAAACCCTCAGCGTCGGCTGTGATAACTGGAGTAACCGGTGGACCACACACTCGTTCATGATGACGCTCGACACACACTCGTTCATGATGACGCTCGACACACACTCGTTCATGATGACGCTCGACACACACTCGTTCATGATGACGCTCGACACACACTCGTTCATGATGACGCTCGACACACACTCGTTCATGATGACGCTCGACACACACTCGTTCATGATGATGCTCGACACACACTCGTTCATGATGACGCTCGACACACACTCGTTCATGATGACGCTCGACACACACCCGTTTATGATGACGCTCGACACACACTCGTTCATGATGATGCTCGACACACACTCGCTCATGATGACGCTCGACACACACTCGTTCATGATGACGCTCGACACACACTCGTTCATGATGACGCTAGACACACACTCGCTCATGATGACGCTCGACACACACTCGTTCATGATGACGCTCGACACACACTCGTTCATGATGACGCTAGACACACACTCGCTCATGATGACGCTCGACACACACTCGTTCATGATGACGCTCGACACACACTCGTTCATGATGACGCTAGACACACACTCGCTCATGATGACGCTCGACACACACTCGTTCATGATGACGCTCGACACACACTCGCTCATGATGACGCTCGACACACACTCGCTCATGATGACGCTCGACACACACTCGCTTATGATGACGCTCGACACACACTCGTTCATGATGACGCTCGACACACACTCGTTCATGATGACGCTCGACACACACTCGCTCATGATGACGCTCGACACACACTCGTTCATGATGACGCTCGACACACACTCGTTCATGATGACGCTCGACACACACTCGCTCATGATGACGCTCGACACACACTCGTTCATGATGACGCTCGACACACACTCGTTTATGATGACGCTCGACACACACTCGTTTATGATGACGCTCGACACACACTCGTTCATGATGACGCTCGACACACACTCGTTCATGATGACGCTCGACACACACTCGCTCATGATGACGCTCGACACACACTCGTTCATGATGACGCTCGACACACACTCGTTCATGATGACGCTCGACACACACTCGTTCATGATGACGCTCGACACACACTCGTTCATGATGACGCTCGACACACACTCGTTCATGATGACGCTCGACACACACTCGTTCATGATGACGCTCGACACACACTCGCTCATGATGACGCTCGACACACACTCGTTCATGATGACGCTCGACACACACTCGATCATGATGACGCTCGACACACACTCGTTCATGATGACGCTCGACACACACTCGTTCATGATGACGCTCGACACACACTCGTTCATGATGACGCTCGACACACACTCGTTCATGATGACGCTCGACACACACTCGATCATGATGACGCTCGACACACACCCGTTTATGATGACGCTCGACACACACTCGTTCATGATGACGCTCGACACACACTCGTTCATGATGACGCTCGACACACACTCGTTCATGATGACGCTCGACACACACTCGTTCATGATGACGCTCGACACACACTCGTTCATGATGACGCTCGACACACACTCGATCATGATGACGCTCGACACACACTCGATCATGATGACGCTCGACACACACTCGTTCATGATGACGCTCGACACACACTCGATCATGATGACGCTCGACACACACTCGTTCATGATGACGCTCGACACACACTCGTTCATGGTGACGCTCGACACACACTCGTTCATGGTGACGCTCGACACACACTCGCTCATGATGACGCTCGACACACACTCGTTCATGATGACGCTCGACACACACTCGTTCATGATGACGCTCGACACACACTCGTTCATGATGGCGCTCGACACACACTCGTTCATGATGACGCTCGACACACACTCGCTCATGATGACGCTCGACACACACTCGCTTATGATGACGCTCGACACACACTCGTTCATGATGGCGCTCGACACACACTCGTTCATGATGACGCTCGACACACACTCGCTCATGATGACGCTCGACACACACTCGCTCATGATGACGCTCGACACACACTCGTTCATGATGATGCTCGACACACACTCGCTCATGATGACGCTCGACACACACTCGTTCATGGTGACGCTCGACACACACTCGCTCATGATGACGCTCGACACACACTCGTTCATGATGACGCTCGACACACACTCGTTCATGATGACGCTCGACACACACTCGCTCATGATGACGCTCGACACACACTCGTTCATGATGACGCTCGACACACACTCGTTCATGATGACGCTCGACACACACTCGTTCATGATGACGCTCGACACACACTCGTTCATGATGACGCTCGACACACACTCGTTCATGATGACGCTCGACACACACTCGTTCATGATGACGCTCGACACACACTCGTTCATGATGACGCTCGACACACACTCGCTCATGATGACGCTCGACACACACTCGTTCATGATGACGCTCGACACACACTCGATCATGATGACGCTCGACACACACTCGTTCATGATGACGCTCGACACACACTCGTTCATGATGACGCTCGACACACACTCGATCATGATGACGCTCGACACACACTCGTTCATGATGACGCTCGACACACACTCGTTCATGATGACGCTCGACACACACTCGTTCATGATGACGCTCGACACACACTCGTTCATGATGACGCTCGACACACACTCGACACACACTCGCTCATGATGACGGTCGACACACACTCGTTCATGATGACGCTCGACACACACTCGTTCATGATGACGCTCGACACACACTCGTTCATGATGACGCTCGACACACACGCGTTCATGATGACGCTCGACACACACTCGTTCATGATGACGCTCGACACACACGCGTTCATGATGACGCTCGACACACACTCGTTCATGATGACGCTCGACACACACTCGTTCATGATGATGCTCGACACACACTCGTTCATGGTGACGCTCGACACACACTCGTTCATGATGACGCTCGACACACACTCGTTCATGATGACGCTCGACACACACTCGTTAATGATGACGCTCGACACACACTCGTTCATGATGACGCTCGACACACACTCGTTCATGATGACGCTCGACACACACTCGTTAATGATGACGCTCGACACACACTCGCTCATGATGATGCTCGACACACACTCGTTTATGATGACGCTCGACACACACTCGTTCATGATGACGCTCGACACACACTCGTTCATGATGATGCTCGACACACACTCGTTTATGATGATGCTCGACACACACTCGTTCATGATGATGCTCGACACACACTCGCTCATGATGACGCTCGACACACACTCGCTCATGATGATGCTCGACACACACTCGTTCATGATGACGCTCGACACACACTCGTTCATGATGACGCTCGACACACACTCGTTAATGATGACGCTCGACACACACTCGTTCATGATGACGCTCGACACACACTCGTTCATGATGACGCTCGACACACACTCGTTCATGATGACGCTCGACACACACTCGCTGATGATGACGCTCGACACACACTCGTTCATGATGACGCTCGACACACACTCGTTTATGATGACGCTCGACACACACTCGTTTATGATGACGCTCGACACACACTCGTTTATGATGACGCTCGACACACACTCGTTCATGATGACGCTCGACACACACTCGTTCATGATGACGCTCGACACACACTCGTTCATGATGACGCTCGACACACACTCGCTCATGATGATGCTCGACACACACTCGTTAATGATGACGCTCGACACACACTCGCTCATGATGATGCTCGACACACACTCGTTTATGATGACGCTCGACACACACTCGTTAATGATGACGCTCGACACACACTCGCTCATGATGATGCTCGACACACACTCGTTTATGATGACGCTCGACACACACTCGTTCATGATGATGCTCGACACACACTCGTTTATGATGACGCTCGACACACACTCGTTCATGATGATGCTCGACACACACTCGTTAATGATGACGCTCGACACACACTCGCTCATGATGATGCTCGACACACACTCGTTTATGATGACGCTCGACACACACTCGTTCATGATGATGCTCGACACACACTCGTTTATGATGATGCTCGACACACACTCGTTTATGATGACGCTCGACACACACTCGTTTATGATGACGCTCGACACACACTCGTTCATGATGACGCTCGACACACACTCGTTCATGATGACGCTCGACACACACTCGTTCATGATGACGCTCGACACACACTCGTTCATGATGACGCTCGACACACACTCGCTCATGATGACGCTCGACACACACTCGTTCATGATGACGCTCGACACACACTCGTTCATGATGACGCTCGACACACACTCGCTCATGATGACGCTCGACACACACTCGTTCATGATGACGCTCGACACACACTCGCTCATGATGACGCTCGACACACACTCGTTCATGATGACGCTCGACACACACTCGATCATGATGACGCTCGACACACACTCGTTCATGATGACGCTCGACACACACTCGTTCATGATGACGCTCGACACACACTCGTTCATGATGACGCTCGACACACACTCGTTCATGATGACGCTCGACACACACTCGATCATGATGACGCTCGACACACACCCGTTTATGATGACGCTCGACACACACTCGTTCATGATGACGCTCGACACACACTCGTTCATGATGACGCTCGACACACACTCGTTCATGATGACGCTCGACACACACTCGCTCATGATGACGCTCGACACACACTCGTTCATGATGACGCTCGACACACACTCGTTCATGATGACGCTCGACACACACTCGTTCATGATGACGCTCGACACACACTCGTTCATGATGACGCTCGACACACACTCGATCATGATGACGCTCGACACACACTCGATCATGATGACGCTCGACACACACTCGTTCATGATGACGCTCGACACACACTCGATCATGATGACGCTCGACACACACTCGTTCATGATGACGCTCGACACACACTCGTTCATGATGACGCTCGACACACACTCGCTCATGATGACGCTCGACACACACTCGTTCATGATGACGCTCGACACACACTCGTTCATGATGACGCTCGACACACACTCGTTCATGATGACGCTCGACACACACTCGTTAATGATGACGCTCGACACACACTCGTTCATGATGGCGCTCGACACACACTCGTTCATGATGACGCTCGACACACACTCGTTCATGATGACGCTCGACACACACTCGTTCATGATGACGCTCGACACACACTCGCTCATGATGACGCTCGACACACACTCGTTCATGATGACGCTCGACACACACTCGATCATGATGACGCTCGACACACACTCGTTCATGATGACGCTCGACACACACTCGTTCATGATGACGCTCGACACACACTCGATCATGATGACGCTCGACACACACTCGCTCATGATGACGCTCGACACACACTCGTTCATGATGACGCTCGACACACACTCGATCATGATGACGCTCGACACACACTCGTTCATGATGACGCTCGACACACACTCGTTCATGATGACGCTCGACACACACTCGTTCATGATGACGCTCGACACACACTCGTTCATGATGACGCTCGACACACACTCGTTCATGATGACGCTCGACACACACTCGTTCATGATGACGCTCGACACACACTCGTTCATGATGACGCTCGACACACACTCGTTCATGATGACGCTCGACACACACTCGCTCATGATGACGCTCGACACACACTCGCTCATGATGACGCTCGACACACACTCGTTCATGATGACGCTCGACACACACTCGTTCATGATGACGCTCGACACACACTCGCTCATGATGACGCTCGACACACACTCGCTCATGATGACGCTCGACACACACTCGCTCATGATGACGCTCGACACACACTCGTTCATGATGACGCTCGACACACACTCGTTCATGATGACGCTCGACACACACTCGTTCATGATGATGCTCGACACACACTCGTTCATGGTGACGCTCGACACACACTCGTTCATGATGACGCTCGACACACACTCGTTCATGATGACGCTCGACACACACTCGTTAATGATGACGCTCGACACACACTCGTTCATGATGACGCTCGACACACACTCGTTCATGATGACGCTCGACACACACTCGTTAATGATGACGCTCGACACACACTCGCTCATGATGATGCTCGACACACACTCGTTTATGATGACGCTCGACACACACTCGTTCATGATGATGCTCGACACACACTCGTTTATGATGATGCTCGACACACACTCGTTTATGATGACGCTCGACACACACTCGTTTATGATGACGCTCGACACACACTCGTTCATGATGACGCTCGACACACACTCGTTCATGATGACGCTCGACACACACTCGTTCATGATGATGCTCGACACACACTCGTTCATGATGACGCTCGACACACACTCGCTCATGATGACGCTCGACACACACTCGCTCATGATGACGCTCGACACACACTCGCTCATGATGACGCTCGACACACACTCGTTTATGATGACGCTCGACACACACTCGTTCATGATGACGCTCCACACACACTCGTTCATGATGACGCTCGACACACACTCGCTCATGATGACGCTCGACACACACTCGTTTATGATGACGCTCGACACACACTCGCTCATGATGACGCTCGACACACACTCGCTCATGATGACGCTCGACACAAACTCGTTCATGATGACGCTCGACACACACACTCGCTCATGATGACGCTCGACACACACTCGCTCATGATGACGCTCGACACACACTCGTTTATGATGACGCTCGACACACACTCGTTTATGATGACGCTCGACACACACTCGTTTATGATGACGCTCGACACACACTCGTTTATGATGACGCTCGACACACACTCGTTCATGATGACGCTCGACACACACTCGTTCATGATGACGCTCGACACACACTCGTTCATGATGACGCTCGACACACACTCGCTCATGATGACGCTCGACACACACTCGCTCATGATGACGCTCGACACACACTCGTTAATGATGACGCTCGACACACACTCGTTCATGATGACGCTCGACACACACTCGTTCATGATGACGCTCGACACACACTCGTTAATGATGACGCTCGACACACACTCGCTCATGATGATGCTCGACACACACTCGTTTATGATGACGCTCGACACACACTCGTTCATGATGACGCTCGACACACACTCGTTCATGATGATGCTCGACACACACTCGTTTATGATGATGCTCGACACACACTCGTTCATGATGATGCTCGACACACACTCGCTCATGATGACGCTCGACACACACTCGCTCATGATGATGCTCGACACACACTCGTTCATGATGACGCTCGACACACACTCGTTCATGATGACGCTCGACACACACTCGATCATGATGACGCTCGACACACACTCGTTCATGATGACGCTCGACACACACGCGTTCATGATGACGCTCGACACACACTCGCTCATGATGACGCTCGACACACACTCGTTCATGATGACGCTCGACACACACTCGTTCATGATGACGCTCGACACACACTCGTTCATGATGACGCTCGACACACACTCGTTCATGATGACGCTCGACACACACTCGTTCATGATGACGCTCGACACACACTCGTTCATGATGACGCTCGACACACACTCGCTCATGATGACGCTCGACACACACTCGCTCATGATGACGCTCGACACACACTCGTTCATGATGACGCTCGACACACACTCGTTCATGATGACGCTCGACACACTCGCTCATGATGACGCTCGACACACACTCGTTTATGATGACGCTCGACACACACTCGCTCATGATGACGCTCGACACACACTCGTTCATGATGACGCTCGACACACACTCGCTTATGATGACGCTCGACACACACCCGTTTATGATGGCGCTCGACACACACTCGCTTATGATGACGCTCGACACACACCCGTTTATGATGGCGCTCGACACACACTCGTTTATGATGGCGCTCGACACACACTCGCTTATGATGACGCTCGACACACACCCGTTTATGTAGCGCTCGACACACACTCGTTTATGATGACGCTCGACACACACTCGTTTATGATGACGCTCGACACACACCCGTTTATGATGACGCTCGACACACACCCGTTTATGATGACGCTCGACACACACTCGTTTATGATGGAGGGACAAGAGAAAGATTGCAGAAACTTACAGTTATTACTGATATTTTGCAGCAGTTTCCCAGGAAGTGCAGAAACACAGACTTTAAAGCTGAGTTCTTCTGTTTGCATGTGTCTTCATGTCTCTGTTCTCTCGTGGTGTGTTCCAGTTGTTCGGAGTTGCTTCATCTGGCAGTGCTTCACCCCAGAAAGCTGTCGGTCTACGCGGTGTCAGGTCGGTTCTCCACACACTCGGTCCTGTACCGCATGCTCAGCTTACTCTAGGACACTCTTTACACTTGATATCTTACAGTCTGTTCCCTGGTGCCATGCATATCTAAGAACAGAATTTAAAGTCTTGAATGTTACCCAGGTGGTCTGAGCTCATGAAGTCTGCTATATTGTTGACTAGGGGTGTCACAATATATCGTGTCACAATATATAACAACGTGTATCGTGGATAATTCACTAGGGATGTAACGATTCACTCATCTCACGATGCGATACGATTCACGATACTGGTTTCACGATACGATTTTCTCACGATTTAAAAAAAAAAAGAGATTTAAGACAAAAGTGTCCCTTTTATTATTTCTCAGACAAAATGCTACACATTTCTTTTTAATTTTAAATATATTTGTCAAATAATAAAACTACATTAAAAAAATTCCCTTCAAGGTTGTTTCAACTCAGTCTTTCTGTCTGTTTGGTCAAGAGGCTGGACACTGTACCTTCGCACACTATGTAAAAGACTGTGTAAAATTAGTACCAGATTGACAGGGGTTTTACATTGTAATAAAGGAAATTAATAAAAATAATGTAATAAAAAATCTGCGTCATCAGTGTTTGCGGCGGCCATATTGTTGACATAGAAACCACGGCAACTGTCAGTCTGTCAATTGACAAGCGAGGCAGCGTCGGAATTATCCATGGTATTATCACTGTTTTTTTTTTTTTAAACAGCGTGATGGTGTGTTGTGTAATACACGGCTGTTCTAACAACAGCAAGAACCCCGGAGTTAGTTTTTATGCGATAAGTTACCGACTGTCAGAAAACGTGAAGGGAAGGAGACAAGAGTTGAGCCAGCGCAAGAGAGGCTAGCTAGGATAAATAGGCTAAACTTTCAGCCAACTCCCCATAGAAAAGTCTGTTCCCATCATTTTACCACAGGTTTCACACATAATCCGTGTGCAATGCATGTGCACTGTATACGGTCCAGAAGCAGGACGCGCTATAGTGCTTTATATGCTGCGTTTGCAGTGCGATCCGCGGCTGTACCACAAACACCCTGGCACTCACTATTTTTATTTTAAAACATACTCACTATTTCAACAACGTAAGCCAATTATTCCATGCATTACTTCTATATATTAAGTTGCTCAAGCAAGTGGTCAAATATGTAACCATGTAACTTACTTATATTAAAATCGCAAACATTTTAAATGAAAACTTAAAATTGACAAAAACTTACTCTCATGCCTTTTCTTTTGCATTTACATTTTAATACAACAAATCTTGCATGTCACAAAGAACTTGTTTTTCCACCTCCACGAATGAGACGAGTGTCGTTCATTATGTTGCCTTGTTGAGGTGCATTGTAGTTTGTATACGGATAGTGGATACTGTATGAACGAGATCGTTATAAATATCTGTATAAGTTACGGCTGGCAAAGTGGCAATAAGGACGGATCTTTACTTAAGCTTCATTGGTGTGGACCCACATCAAATAATAGCATTATGTTCTCTTGATACCGACGAGATGAAGCCAGGCTACTGCTCCCCTCAACTCAAATCTGCGTGCGGTTAGGGGCAGCAGGACAGATGTCATGTCAACAATATGGCCGCGGTTAGCTACTTCCGGTGTTTGCGAATAAGGTCTATCGATCCAGGTGTGAAAGCACCCTAAATGAGGCAAAATAGTGGGCGTGGCTTTTTTTTCCAACTAGCACCTGATTGGATCTAGAAAAGTAGGTGTTTTCATTCAGCCTGTCTACTGTCAGTTGGAGGGGCGTGGTTACGGATGTTAAGAAGACGCCCAAACCGTAAAGCCTACGTCATCAGGCAAGGTCCTCCAACGCAGAGGGGAGGGGCATTTTCAAAATTTGATTAAAGATTACGAAGCCAAAAAATTTTTTTGTGTGGATTGACTTGCATGGATGAATTGTTCACCACAAAACGATCAATTTAGGCAAACAAAGTAAGTATGGTCAATTTTGATTTCATGGGGACTTTAAAGCGTGTATTGCGATTCGTTTAACATTTCAACCGACTTTGAATCGTCACACATTTTTATTGATTTTCAACCGGTTGCGAGTGAATCGTTACATCCCTATAATTCACCCAAAAGTACAATTAATGTGTGAGGAAAAAATTCAAGTTTTCAGAGTTTTAGTGTCAGAACTACATTAAACTACTATATATGATGTTGAATATAATGTATAATAATGCAATGGGGGGATATTTGTGGGACTGATAAAGCCAGATGTCTTGTTACCAGTATAAAGTGGCCTTTATTATATTAAATATATCTAGTCAGTGACAGAGATCAAGCATATTCATCTACAATAATTCAGTATTTTCAGCTTCAGAATCATGAATATTGTTATTCTGGAGTCTCTATTGTCCTGCGTTGGGTTTCAGCACCAAGTCCATCCTATTCATTTACACACACAATGCAATATTAAATTTAGCATTTTAATCAACAGGACATTTTTTGTGAACCTTTAATAATATATCTTGGAGTATCACAGTAATATGGTATGGAGAGTTCAGTGTGGTGACGTGAGGGAATGGTTACACCCCTACTGTGATCTGATCTTCAGATGTGTGTGTGTGTGTGTGTGTGTGTGTGTGTTTGCTGCTGCTGGTTTTCTCAGGCACTGCTGGGAATGTTGAACACGGGGACCAGTATCAGCTGCGACTGGTTTATGAACACAACCTGCAGAGGACAGCTTGCAACATGACGTACGGCCCGTTTGGGGGAGTGACAGGTCAGTGATGTCATCTTTAGGGAAGCTCGATATAACCGCATCTTATCGGTATCGCCCGATATATGATCATTTATAATGTTACCGTTATCGGTCTGATGAGGCCGATACATTAAAGTCGATAGTCCTTCAGCTGAGACTCTTCAGATGCGCACTGTTCAACATGATGGTTATGAATTGCTTGAAATATGATTGAAAATACGGTTCAGTGCAACATGTGCAGTGCAAGCCTGTCATATCGGCTACATAACATTATCATGAGGACATTATAATTGTGTGTTTGGGACGTGGCTTTTAATGGTGAGACTTTTGTTTTTGCAATCAGGCTCTCAAAAATGATAGATTTATCAGCCAATATAACGGTATCGTCATAGTCATCTTTATTACACACACAATATTAGCCTCTCATTCAGAAATATTCTGGCATATAGAGTTGAGGTTAGCTATTTAATTGTGGCTTTTTGTATGAAACGTTCTCTCGTGAGATATAATTGATCATTAGTGCTATGGACTGGATTCAGGTCAGTCTCTCAAACTGTACAATATTAGAAAACATTCTGCTTTTTCAGATTTGACCTTTCATCCTTTCAATTCTGAACTGCCTTAAACGAGTCGTCAGTAATTCCAGTCTCACTTCCTGTTGAACATTTGCATAATGCCAGCCTGTGATCTTCATTGGCTGAGCAGCGTCTCTTAGCCCCGCCCCCTCAAACACTGTAGTGTATCTGAGACTGGAAGAGTTTTGTTTTCTGCTGACAAAGCAAATCCACTTTGATGAGATTGATACGGTGAAACCCACGCCATCGTTACTGTTCGTATCACTGTGATCAAGAGCTGAGACTCAGATATGATAATGAGCGTTTCCTTTCTGACCAATCACAGCAGAGCAGCTCTCAGAGAGGCGGAGCTTAGAGGCTGAGTCTCTCATCAGGGCGTTTCAGACACTGAGAGGAAGAGCTGATTGTTAGATGTTCATTATTAGTTCATGTCAGCTCAGGTCCATTTAATAATATTAACACATACAACTTTTGATTTTAATAATGTATTATTAAATGCTGAAATTAACTCTAAGATTAATAAATGCCTAGTTCATTTTAATGAATGTAATTAACAATGAACTTATTGTAAAGTGTTCCCCACTGCTCTTCTCGTGGATGCATTAATGCTCACGTTAGTCGCTCGTAGCTTCTGTGTCTTGAGATCTCTCCTGTTTGTGTGAAGAAAGCTGATTAAAGTCAACCTTCTATAAATATAATAGTGGCACAGGTTTGTTTAATAGGATTTTGGACTTAGCTGTGTCGTGCAGTTCCCTTCTCAGCCGCCAGAGGGCAGCACAGGCTCTCTGCTGGAGATTATCAGCGTACACACATGCACACACGCACACACACACACACACGCACACACACACACACACACACACACACACACACACACACACACACACACACACACACACACACACACACACACACACACACACACACAGTGTGAACTGATGTGATGATGCCTAATACAGCATCTGTAGATTTTCAGCTTTTCCATTCTAAGTAGATCCAACAATACTTTTATGTTGCCTGCATAAAAAATAACTTCCAAAGTGACCATCTTTATGTATACCGTAAAAGGAAACAAATAGATGAATAAATACTTGGTAATAACTTTTAAACATAATTGGTGTAATTGAGCGAGAGGTTTGACTTCTAACACAGCCAAGAGTGAGATATATCACAGAGCAAGCCAGAGACACATGACACGAGCGCGATGCCCGTGTGAGTGCTTACGCCAGCGCCGCTGTTCTGTTGATGCTGTGTTCATTATTATACACGGTGTAGTTCTGACTGCATGAGCTGACTCAAGGCCTTTGCAAAATGCAGACGAACTCACATCAAATCACCAAGATGCACCAAAAGATATTACTTAGTATTTAGTCTTTAGTGGTGATGTTGTGATTATTATTATTATTTATGTATTATACATTTTTTACATGTAAATAAAAATGTAATCATGTTTATAAATGTAACTATTTCACATTGATGTGTGTATAATATTGTTAATTGGGGAAATCAGGGCTGATATATATATGTTATTGTGTGTGTGTGTGTGTGTGTGTGTGTGTGCAGGGCATCACTTCATCTGTATCCAGTCCATGGATGGGATGCTGATGTTTTTTGAGCAGGAGAGTTACGGGTTCGGCCGGTTCCTGCCTGGGTTCCTGTTGCCCGGCCCACTGAGCTACTGTACCCGCACCGACTCCTTCATCACAGTCTCCTCCTCACGACAGGTGGAGTGCTACAGGTCAGACACACACACACACACACACACACACACACACACACACACACACACTGAGCTACTGTACCCGCACCGACTCCTTCATCACAGTCTCCTCCTCACGACAGGTGGAGTGCTACAGGTCAGACACACACACACACACACACACACACACACACACACACACACACACACACACACACACACTGAGCTACTGTACCCGCACCGACTCCTTCATCACAGTCTCCTCCTCACGACAGGTGGAGTGCTACAGGTCAGACACACACACACACACACACACACACACACACACACACTGAGCTACTGTACCCGCACCGACTCCTTCATCACAGTCTCCTCCTCACGACAGGTGGAGTGCTACAGGTCAGACACACACACACACACACACACACACACACTGAGCTACTGTACCCGCACCGACTCCTTCATCACAGTCTCCTCCTCACGACAGGTGGAGTGCTACAGGTCAGACACACACACACACACACACACACACACACACACACACACACACACACACACACACACACACACTGAGCTACTGTACCCGCACCGACTCCTTCATCACAGTCTCCTCCTCACGACAGGTGGAGTGCTACAGGTCAGACACACACACACACACACACACACACACACACACACACACACACACACACACACACACACTGAGCTACTGTACCCGCACCGACTCCTTCATCACAGTCTCCTCCTCACGACAGGTGGAGTGCTACAGGTCAGACACACACACACACACACACACACACACACACACACACACACACACACACACTGAGCTACTGTACCCGCACCGACTCCTTCATCACAGTCTCCTCCTCACGACAGGTGGAGTGCTACAGGTCAGACAGACACACACACACACACACACACACACACACACACACACACACACACACACACACACACACACACACACACACACACTGAGCTACTGTACCCGCACCGACTCCTTCATCACAGTCTCCTCCTCACGACAGGTGGAGTGCTACAGGTCAGACACACACACACACACACACACACACACACACACACACACACACACACTGAGCTACTGTACCCGCACCGACTCCTTCATCACAGTCTCCTCCTCACGACAGGTGGAGTGCTACAGGTCAGACACACACACACACACACACACACACACACACACACACACACTGAGCTACTGTACCCGCACCGACTCCTTCATCACAGTCTCCTCCTCACGACAGGTGGAGTGCTACAGGTCAGACACACACACACACACACACACACACACACACACACACACACACACACACACACACACACACACACACACACACACACACACACACACACACACTGAGCTACTGTACCCGCACCGACTCCTTCATCACAGTCTCCTCCTCACGACAGGTGGAGTGCTACAGGTCAGACACACACACACACACACACACACACACACACACACACACACACACACACACACACACACACACACACACACACACACACACACACACACTGAGCTACTGTACCCGCACCGACTCCTTCATCACAGTCTCCTCCTCACGACAGGTGGAGTGTTACAGGTCAGACACACACACACACACACACACACACACACACACACACACACACACACACTGAGCTACTGTACCCGCACCGACTCCTTCATCACAGTCTCCTCCTCACGACAGGTGGAGTGCTACAGGTCAGACACACACACACACACACACACACACACACACACACACACACACACACACACTGAGCTACTGTACCCGCACCGACTCCTTCATAACAGTCTCCTCCTCACGACAGGTGGAGTGCTACAGGTCAGACACACACACACACACACACACACACACACACACACACACACACACACACACACACACACACTGAGCTACTGTACCCGCACCGACTCCTTCATAACAGTCTCCTCCTCACGACAGGTGGAGTGCTACAGGTCAGACACACACACACACACACACACACACACTTCATACTAACTAGGGCTGGGAGAAAAAATCGATTCACCAAACTATCGCAATTTTTTTTGTTTACGATTTTAAAATCGATTTTTTTTATTCCAGAATCGATATTAATACAAATAAAAGTTGCTTTATTTTTGTCCTTGCTTATAGACGAGGTTGACAGAAGCTGTTCCAACAGAGGATGAAATGTGTCATTATGTATTAAGTGTTGTAATGTGAACGCGACATGAGACTGAAGCACTGAAAGCATGATCTCCATTCAAACACACACACGATCTTCTTCCAATTCCTCCGTCTATTAAACCATTGACCAAATCATATCGCAACATTCAGATCTGTGTTGGCGCTGCCGCTGACCCGGAGAGAGTCGCCATGAAACCGCTTCACTAAGAGTCTTTTCAACCTCATCGTATCATTATTTCTGTGATACGATAGTTCAAATTATCACAGAAGTACTGGGATGAAAGTTTAAAGTTTAAATATTAACACTGATGTCTACGGTAGCGATCAAATAGAGTAAATCAGCTTTTGATTTTAAAATAACGCATTTATCAATTACATTGTTTCGCCACTAGGTGGCGACAAGTGGCTGTTAAAAAAATAATTATTTATTCAAGAGTAGTGCTGTATGATCTTCTGAAATAGAACACAGAAAGATGTGGTGAATTGTTTTTGTAAATATGACTCATCCTATACATCATGTACAGTCTGTATAAGTCTATGATTTATCTTTTCCCCATAGTCTAGTGTTTAAAAAATTGCAATATCGAATCGCAATACTTGTAGAATCGCAATTCTTAAAAATCGCAATACATATCGCATCGGCAGCCGAGTATCATGATGGTATTGAATCGGGAGAGAGGTGCATCGCCCCAGCCCTAATACTCACATCATTCTTATTGAGCCAACACGATATCTAGTAGGATATATATCATCTGCAGTAATGATCCGGTAATAGGCTTTATGCCGATCGTCACATGAACACACAGGTGAACAGGTCTCCTTGCATCCGCCTGTGGGAGGAAGTGTGAACGGCAGGACGACGGGCCGTTATCTGTGGGCTGTTAATGGTTCAGCTCTCCTAGATGCTGCTTTTTATTGTTGGCATCTTGGCATGATAGCATCAGGAGTGAAGCGACTCTATATTTAGTGAAGGACCTGAAGGTGAAGCGATGTCGCCTGTGTTACAGAATACAGGAGTTGGTTTTTTGAACCATCAAAGTTTTGTTGGGACGGACAGAAGAGCGTTTGCTTCTCATAATACACCTCACGACCCGCTGAAAGCTTTGGAGGACCGTCAGGGGTTTCACCACACAGCGTTTGATCTGTTGCAAACACACACACACACACACACACTAAACGCCAGTACTGATCATGCTCTCAGAGCTAAATGTTCACTGCTGTGTCTCGCTGCGATAAGCGTTTGCTCAAACACACCCAACATCACACGAGAGGAATTCAGTATCGCAAATTCAAAGCAGAAATTTCTTGCTCTTTCCAAGAACAAGGCACTAAATCGACATCCAATCTCCATTAAGGACGTCCGTCATCCACTAACTTCTGCAACCCTAGCGACAAATCTTGGGACATGTCTGAATATTAAAAAAGAAATAATTCATAATACAATTAACTGAATTGTCATTTCACTAGATGATGACACTCTTGTATAAGGTTGATGTCATGAAAACTGCAGGATGTGTGTATGGTGTCCTCGAGTCAGCTGGTGTTCTTCAGTGCTTCAGTGTTCTGGGTAAAGGGATAGTTCACCCAAAGATGAACATTAGCCCATGATTTACTCTCCCTCAAGTCATCCTAGGTGTACACTCACCTAAAGGATTATTAGGAACACCATACTAATACTGTGTTTGACCCCCTTTCGCCTTCAGAACTGCCTTAATTCTACGTGGCATTGATTCAACAAGGTGCTGAAAGCATTCTTTAGAAATGTTGGCCCATATTGATAGGATAGCATCTTGCAGTTGATGGAGATTTGTGGGACGCACATCCAGGGCACGAAGCTCCCGTTCCACCACATCCCAAAGATGCTCTATTGGGTTGAGATCTGGTGACTGTGGGGGCCATTTTAGTACAGTGAACTCATTGTCATGTTCAAGAAACCAATTTGAAATGATTCGAGCTTTGTGACATGGTGCATTATCCTGCTGGAAGTAGCCATCAGAGGATGGGTACATGGTGGCCATAAAGGGGTGGACATGGTCAGAAACAATGCTCAGGTAGGCCGTGGCATTTAAACGATGCCCAATTGGCACTAAAGGGCCTAAAGTGTGCCAAGAAAACATCCCCCGCACCATTACACCACCACCACCAGCCTGCACAGTGGTAACAAGGCATGATGGATCCATGTTCTCATTCTGTGTACGCCAAATTCTGACTCTACCATCTGAATGTCTCAACAGAAATCGAGACTCATCAGACCAGGAAACATTTTTCCAGTCTTTAACTGTTTAATTCTGGTGAGCTCTTGCAAATTGTAGCCTCTTTTTCCTATTTGTAGTGGAGATGAGTGGTACCCGGTGGAGTCTTCTGCTGTTGTAGCCCATCCGCCTCAAGGTTGTGCGTGTTGTGGCTTCACAAATGCTTTGCTGCATACCTCGGTTGTAACGAGTGGTTATTTCAGTCACTGTTGCCCTTCTATCAGCTCGAATCAGTCGGCCCATTCTCCTCTGACCTCTGGCATCAACAAGGCATTTTCGCCCACA